CTCTGGCAGCGCGAACAGAGATCTGGAGCTCAAGCTGCCATTCCAGCTGCTGGTACAAGGCTGGCTCCCACTCAGGCTCAGAGGATTTCGCTCCATAGGCCCTGGCCCTACGCAGTCTCAGCCAAGTCCTTGAAAGCGAGGAGTTGTGGGAACAGCTGATGCCCTCTATTTGGGATCAATACAGTAATTATGTTGGACAAGCTCTTAGGACTAACTTCATGGAAAATGCAGACAGCCTCATGAATGAGAAAGTGTGAAAACACAGTAGGGGAAGAGCCAGCCAACACGTCACTGATGCTTGTGGGACAGAGGCCATTTGGCAGGATCCGCTCCTCCAGGGATCACGATCTTGCCTCCTGGGTGGGACGCGGCAAAGGCTTGGGGCAGTAATGAGCTGGTGGCGGGTCCCAGCTCTAAAGGCAGACCAATGTCATCCATAAGAGGTCATTCAACTGCCAAGTCACAAGATGAATTCTGCAACCTCCTTCTACCCAAAATCTAATGAGGCTCAGAAAAGATACTTAAATTTTACCACATGGAGAAATGTCACCGACTCCTCTGAGACGTATGCATTTTTTTAAAAAAGTGATAGGATTTGGTAAGCAGTATGCTGTACTGATTTGATAAAACTGGTCCTGTGGCTTATTTGCTAGGGAAGGGCCAGCACAAGAAATACCTATTCCACATACTCTACTCTTGAATATTGTTCACTAAGTCTCAAGAGGTAAATAAAAAATGACAAACATGTGATCCTTCTGCATTGCATCGTGCTCCCTGGTGCCTGCACAGCCCTGCCTCTGAAGCTCACAGCACCTGTTTTCTGACGATCTCGGCAATGACAATCAAAATATCGGAAGCTCCCCTCTAAGGCAGGACCTGCCCATCACAGAGACATAAATCTCCGACACACATTCTAAACGTGTTTCAAATACCTTTCAAGATAAGGCTCCAAATAAACACAGAACCAAGGAATCTTACCATTTGGCCATTAGTTTCATTTTCTCTACCGGCCAAGAGGAAAGATTTATGTAACAGTATGATTGAACACCTGTCCAGCCGTGATTTTAGCTCTAAGAGCTTCCAGCAGAAGGTGCACTCTCAAGAGAAGGGGCTCCGGGTAGCTTGGCTTCGTGGCTACGTGACCCGTTTGAAAACTTATGGAAAGGATTCCGTGGCATTCCCTCACAAAGGCTGGAGTCTTTCTAATGGCAAAGAATACAAAGCAATTTACCCCAACAGCATCTATTACTGCTTGATCTTCACAGTGTGGGAGGGAATACGAGGCAGCAAATACTGCCCTTCTCAGAGACAAGGAAACCAAGCTGAAGCAAAGCAGCTTTGCTTCCTTACAAGGTAAATGAGGGGATTACCCGGAACCAGGCGACCGACTTCTCAACACTCCACTATGCGTGTATGTGTGATCTGAACAGCTAGTAGACTCCTCGGCCCACTGGACCCAACAGCCACATTAAAAAAAAAAGGAACAAAGGTTTTGGGATGTAGGAGAGATGGTTTTACGTGTCCGCCCGGACACATAGGACTTTGGCATGAAAGCTGTTGCTCTGTGAAATACCAATCAACGTGGTACCACATACAAATGTTTACAATTTCTATTCCAATGAACAAAGGATTCTGGTAATGTTGATCTCCAGCCATTCTGGTGTCCACAAGAGGTCTGAGCTTCGGAGGCAGTGAGCTGTTGGCCTTCAGAATCCCAAATGTACCTGCTGACAGAACCCTGCACCTTGGAGATGGGTGTGGGACCCAAGGCATTGGCAAAGGGGTGAGAATCTTCTTAAAACAAAGACACTGGCTTTGCATGGGACTGAACTCTGTTCACAGTCCCCTGGAACACCGAGCAAACAAAACATTAAAATGCCAAAGAGAAAGGATGGGCTACTCCTCCAGGACTCAGTAACAGGAAAGACAGGCTTTAATGTTCATTTCGGCAGTTTGTTTAGACAGAGATAAATCATGCCTCGGGTATTTAAAACAGGTTATTCAATACCAACGTCAGCTTCAAATATTAACCAGGATCTGATCGATAAGTCCATGACCATATGGACCACTAACTGGAGATTTAAAGTAACCAAAAAATATTCACTCTGGATTATGATTTCATGGAAATCAAGAGACACTCATTTCTTTTTAGTCCTGTAGAAAATGAAGAGTAACTCTAAATAACAAAGTTCATTAATACACAGATCTCCCCAGGGAATGAAGATGGCCAAATGGGAACCTGTATTTCAGGTAATGTCAACAATGTGTACTATCACGGGATAGAGTAAGTGTTAGTTTGGGATTAAGGCGGTCAGAAACAGAAGGGGGGATATCTCAGGCTTCATAAATACCTTCTACAGAGGACTGCTCTGATAAAAAATACACATGCACAGTATAAAAAAAAAAAAACCTGATGGAGAGTCTCTGTGCTTCAGTGTGGTTCCAGCCCTGAAGACCATTGGTCTCTACATATTTGTAAACGGAGACAAAGAACTGGGTGTGAGTTTATACTGTGTACCTGTTTTCCCCATGCGAAGCAGTGAGGGTGGCAAAGGGATCCCAGCCTGAGGCTTCTCAACCTCTAAAAGCACTGGAGTGACCTGTGGGCGCAGATCTCAGGTGTCTGGGGCTTGGACTGCTGCATTTTTCTTTTACTATTTATTTAAGTAATCTCTACCCCCAATGTGGGGCTTGAACCTACAACCTGAGATGAAGTCTCACACTCTTCCAACTGGGCCAGCCAGGTGCCCCCCAGCCCCACATTTCTTTACTTTTTAACGTTTATTTTTGAAAGAGGAAGAAAGAGTGGGAGAGGGGCAGAGAGAGAGGGAGACACAGAATTCAAAGCGGGGTCCAGGCTCTTGAGCTGTCAGCACAGAGCCCAATGCAGGGCTCGAACTCAAGGACCAGGAGATCATGACCGGAGCCAAAGTCATATGCTTAACCAACTGAGCCACCCAGGCGCCCGGCCCTGGCTCCTGCATTTCTAACGCAGCCTCCCAGTGCTGCTGATGGGTGCGTGGCCACACTGAGTTGCACTGGTCAGGGCAGGAGGAGACAGCTGCTGGGCTGAGAACAGCCGCCTACAGCATCACAGGCTCCTGCTGGGCCCAGCTCGCTCCCACCCTGGGCAGAGTTCTTAGAGCAGCCACTGCAGAGACTGGGTCATACGGAAAGATCTCGGAAAGGCTGTTACCATTGCATAAGGGGAAAAGACTCGAGTAACACATTTTAAAACTGTTTTTAACAGCAAAATGGGAAAAAGAGATCTGATTTCTAGGGGCTGCAGACATGTTTGTCAGTCCCTAGAAAGAACCTTTTCTGGCTGAATGGCTTCTTTGTGGAGAAAGGGGAGCTGCCCCAATGAGCACTCAGTGAACTTGTTAATAAGTCTTTACCTCGGGAAAGAGGAAGTTGCTCGGTGTATTAATACACTGATACTCCAGCTATTTTTTTGGAGCAAAATAAAAGACTGGGATCTAAAACCCAATTAGCTATCCGTGACCTCAACTCCGAGTCCCTTCCCTGTGTTGACCAACCTCAGTGCAGGAACGGCTGGTGCCTGGGCTGGCTTTCAAGGGTCCTGTGTGGAGCCTGCACTCTCCCACACAGGCTCATTATACACCCCCTCTTCCTCAGGGGGCACAGACTGGAGGCATAGCCAACAGAGGGGAAAAACAAGCAAGAAGTTATAATTTGACCAAATAGCCATCTTATTCTGATAAAAAGCGTTATTCAAAAGGGCTCTGCCAAGGTTACTGGTCCTCAAATTGAAACCTGCCCCCACCCCCACCCATTATGTGGGCTTAAATGTTGGGTGGGGGTGGGGGAGCGTGGAAGGAGAAAGAAAAAAAAAAAAAAACGGAGGAAGAACCACCCTATCACAAACCCAAAAAAGTGTTCACGAGACATACGCTGGAGTAAGCATCTTGGCCCCAAACGCGTACATACACACTGAACAGAAAACCATGAAACCAACTTGTGTTAAGTCCCGTTTTAAAACCCCTCAACATTCTTGGGGCGCCTGGGTGGCTTAGTCGGTTAAGCGTCCGACTTTCGCTTGGGTCATGATCTCGCGGTTCGTGGGTTCGAGCCCCGCGTCGGGCTCTGTGCTGACTGCCAGCTCAGAGCCTGGAGGCTGTTTCTGAGTCTGTGTCTCCCTCTCTCTCTGACCCTCCCCTGCTCATGCTGTCTCTCTCTCTCCTAGAAATAAATGATTATAAAAAAAAAAAAAACCCTCAACATTCTTGGGGCGCCTGGGTGGCTTAGTCGGTTAAGCGTCCGACTTTCGCTTAGGTCATGATCTCGCGGTTCGTGGGTTCGAGCCCCGTGTCGGGCTCTGTGCTGACTGCCAGCTCAGAGCCTGGAGCCTGTTTCAGTTTGTGACTCCCTCTCTCTCTCCTAGAAGTAAATAAAACATTAAAAAATTAAAAAAATAAAAAATAAAAAAATAAAACATTCTTAAGAATGTTGCTTTGGTTATGTGTTAATAACAGTAATCCGGAAATAGATGAAATGACACATCCCACCCATACCTTTTGTGTTGTTTAAACAAAATGATCTAAAAACCCCTTTCTGGTCATTTCGGGAAAGATGCTTTCAAAAGAGAAGCAAGATGCAAGAAACGGTAGACTTGGGGAATGGGAAGAAAACGTTTCTATAAAAACCTTGCATCATCCAAATGGTACTTCAGTCCACTTGACTCTTCTGATAAGGTGGTCAGGTTTTTCAGAAGTGCAAGATGTACTTGATTTCCCAAATTCTGAACAACAGCAAGACTGGAGGAAGGTGCTATCACAGGTAATAAACATTCGCCATCCAACCTGAAGGCATGAAAGCCAGGGCCCTGAAGCCCAAACTGAGCCCCAATCCCTCCTCACTGCAGGGAGCACACATGACTGACACCAGGAGAGAGACCACGGGGTGGAGGGCAGCGTGGGTGTGCGGGAGCCGACGCGGAGAAGAGGACGATAATCTGAAGACACTTTTCCACAATGAAGGCAAGTTTCTTCACTTTCATGCTTTATTGAAAGTAAAATATGAATCAAAGACAGGTATTGGTAAGCAGGTTATGTCTCTAAAGAATTACTTTTTAGTTTAGAGCAGAATGTTGTCCCATCTACTGTGATAAAATCCTTTATGGACCAATGCATCTGGTATGAAACGCGAGCAAGGAAATATAACAGAACTTTATTCCCTCCCGTGACTATAAATCTCATATGTAAACATGATTTACTGTTACTGCCACTAAACCGGCTCCAGCTTTACTTGCCCCCGCCCGCCCGCCACCCTCCCTTAAATATAAAATTTGAAACATTTCCTTCAAGTCTGATGTCCATCAGTGCAATCTGCTTTATTTGACATAAGGCATTTGGGACAGTCACTTCGGAATAGTTTTCTGCCTTGTGGAAGAGTCATAGAATGGTTTTAATTCTTAAATCCATCTTTTCGTTAATGCCCTAACATATGTCAAACGCCTCTCTTCCCTTCTGGTCATTTCTTAGAAGTCAGCAAGTATTCAAAAGATTAATGTCCAAGTAGACCAGTACCTGGGAAAAGAAAACACACGTGGAGGTACAGCTGTGAACTGAAAATGAAGACTTTCAGGTACTCCATTTGCCAAGAACGCATCATCAACAGGGAATATCCAATTAAAGGAATGAGCACCGCGGCCCCTGGACAGTGAAGGATAAGAACAGAGCAGCAGACTCCAGGCTTTTGGCTAAACCCACGTTTCGGTTGAAAGCCACGTGTTTCCTATGCGGTATCTTCACACAAGTGAATCACATTTTATTGATGCTTTCATTTGATGGCCATTTTTCATAAAGGAATTTTTTGCTTTGCTTTGTTTTGACCACTTCTTTGTAGTAGTCAATGTGCAGATAACAAAGCTGCCTTGAGAGGAAGGCTTTACTTAAGCCAGTAGCTTTGCTCACTCATTTGTGTAAGCAAAGGACCCCTGGTATTTGATAAAACTCACTCCATGGCAAAAAAAGAAAAATAAATAAAAATAAAAAAATCACAAGCTGCCACGGACCTCTCCAAAAGGAATCACAATGGCAACGGTTAAGTCTGTAAATATCAAAGGTCTATATTTGATGAATTAATATTATTAGTATACACAAATAATAGTGGCCATGTGACAAGACACCACTGTGTCACCATCCAGTCATAATCCAAGAAATGCCTGAAATCTAAATAGATGAATGAAACCTTTTCACTGAACTGTATACAATTCAGCAAATTCCTTTCCTCTAATTCTCATCAGTTATACATGAAATGTTTTGCTCCAAGGTGGGACTGAGAGGAGGAACAGGAAAAATAAATATAAACGCCACTAGCTAATTCCCCAACCTCTCCCCTCCCCCGCCCCCAAATGAGAAAGAGTGCAAAATGGACATCTGGTGGTAGAGGCTTTGAACACACAGGCCCTCTCTGAGGCCTGAGTGCTGAAAAAGATAATGAAGAAGGCTGAATAAAAAATGCATTAAACTAAAATTAATTTCAGTCATGAGACTATATTGAATTAAATTTTAAAATCAAATTACAGCCTTCGCTTTAAGAGAAAATTACAGTATGACTCTGACATTCATGAACAAAACATGACAAATGTGACTTACCTTTAAACCCTTCTTCTGGCATACATACTGGGAAAAAAGAGAGAGAGAAAAATTCCAACATGAAAAGACTGTCGTGACAGAAAATAATGCCTAAATTACTGCAATGCCTAAAGACAAAAAAAGTTTACAAATAACTTTTAATTACCTTACTCACCCATAATGATTACCTTTGAAATTTTGGGTGAGAATAATCAGGTGACAATCTTTCTCTTTGTTTTTATTTTCATCAAAGTCAAATAAGGTAAAACAATGGCTGTGGCTGGAGCCTACTTGTACACAACTGGGGGGGGGGGGCGGGGAGAGAGGCCTGGAGGCCTGGAGAAAACCTGTGACAGATGCCTTCGGGGGCTCTGTCTTTCCCCACCTTCCCTCCATTCCCACACTCTAGAAGGAACCACTTCTGACTCATGTAGCCTTTTCTCCAGGTCTTTCTTTCCAGATAATATGCTTATTCAGCTGACCCTTAAACAACTGGGGGTTAGGGGCACTGACCCACAGCATGGCTGAAAAACTACACAGAGCTTCACACTCCCCCCAGAACTTAACTTCTAACGGCTTACTGTTGACAGGCAGCTTCACCCAAAATAGCCATTCAACACGTATTTTGTTATATGTATTATATACTGCATTCTTACGATCAAGCTAGAAAAACAAAGGTCATTAAGAAAATCAAAGCAGAGAAAATACATTTATGTGCTGCACATACACTTTTTTTAAAAAAGCCCGTGTTGGAATGGACCGAGCACAGTTCAGACCCATGTTGTTCAAGGTCAACTGTATTGTTATTTCATAACGTTAGATAAATAGTAGCTAATAACTTCCTCTATGAAAAATAAAGATTTAGTTTGTCCACCACCTGCCCCCTAACCCATCTCCCCTCCTGACAGTGGTGTTTTTTGTTAAGTCAGTCAGTGTCCAGTATTCACATTATTTTTTACTCCATTAACAAGGGCTCACAGTTGAGCACTGAGTGTTATGTGGAAACTAATTTGACAATAAACTATTTGTAAAAAAAAAAAATAAAGTAAAGCATTTAACAGAAAAAAAAAGCAGAAAAAAAACAAAACAAAAAAAAAACAAGGGCTCACAGTTGAACCTCTCAGTGTACCTTGGTCATACTTGCTGTCTGGTAGGACTTTCTGGGGTTGGTAACGACTGCATCGCATGGGCTTTTCATCTGCTCTGTGCCATCTCTAATTCAAGTGTAACCTCCTGAAGACCTGTAAGCCTCAAGATAGTCACGCATCATCTCCCCTCTTGCCGGGGGACACGCTCCGCCTGAGCTGTGCTCCCTGCTCGGACCCCGACCGGCGGGCTCGCTGCCGGCCGCAGAGCTTCTCTTCTGGGCGTCCCCGCCACTGTCTTCTAGGGCGGTTTTGCCTTGTTGGAGCCCTAGGTTTTGGTGCCACCACTGACTTTTTTTGGGGCTTGCACCCTTGCTTAAGATGAGCACACCCTTCCATAGTATCTTGGCAAACGGCATCAGAGAGAGAAATATTTGGAGGCCTCAGATGTGTTCCAAGAGCCATCAAATATGAAGAGAGAACAAAATCTAGTTGTGGAAGTCTCGACTGGAACTCGCTTTCCCTCAGAACCCTGTGGGCGCAGCTCCATCCTTCGGTCTGTCTGACCCTTCATCTTGAGAAGCAGAATCCTTTTCCTCCCGCATCTCTGCATGTTTTTAGATTCACGCGTCCCTTGAATTTCACTTACCACATTGGACCCCTGGCACGGTCATTAACTTCATGAAACCCCTTTTGTCCTCTCAAAGTTTCTTTTATAGAGTCCCTGGCTATTTGGTCTCGCTGTATTATTTAATTTTTGAGCTTTCTCATTCTTCCTGCACAGAGTGCTTCCTTCAGCTTCCTTCCTTGAGGCTGGCGATGGGCACTGTTTAGTTCCAGGCCCTCACCCCTCCTCTGTCTGGTGGTCTGAAGCTGCCCGTTTCTCCCTAGTGAAGTGTGAGGACTGGTCAGTGAATACCGGTGTGCCTCACTGAAGGGTTCCCAGGGAGATGAAGCACCTCTTTCTCGCCTTCAAAGAGCTGAGACACATGTCCTCGTTGCCCACATGAGGTGCCGGTGGGGAGGGAACAGTATGACATGACGGCCTGGGGAGGGACTGTGTGCTGTCTCACTGCCTCTCGTATAGGTTCCTATTCTCAGGCTCAGACCTCACTCCCACAGCCGGAAGTACCTAGGGTCTCCTGTGCGTCTGTCTGAGGCTCTACAAGCAGAATGAACTTGGCTTCTGGTTGACTTCTTCAATCGGCAGGCTTACCCGTATTCCGGTTTCCTCAGCTCAGCTAAATCATTACTACTCTGTTCTCAGCTTTCTGTTTGCCAAATTTTTGCACCCGCCCTTCTCTATGATCTTCGAGGAGAAAGAATGTAAGACTCCACCCTAACAACACGTAAAACTTTTCTGAAGTGAAAAGTAAAAGCATTGTAGACAGAGGCTTCACCAGGTGTAATTACCTCTCCTTCTAGCAAAGGAACAAATTCCTAGAGAAAATGTGTCTTTACCTTGCATGACATCGTCCATTGCAGCATAATCTGCAATCGGTTCATCAGCCTAGAAAAACCAATGAAGACAAGTGAAAACCAGAGCCGATCCTCAGCACATGGACAGCAGGCCCACGCGTCCACCAGTGTCTTCTACAGGACACAGATACACGCGCTGTCAGCCACGTCCAGGACTAACACAGGATGCCCCTGCCTACAATGACAGGTCTACGCTCATCACCCCCAAACCACACATGGTGACAGGGGTTACCTGCCCTTAAATACACCTTTTGATGTGGAAACTGATTCCCCTGAGGTTACTATGCACAAAATGAACATGAGCTAGGATGCCAGAGTGATGGTGATAGCGAGTTAGGTGGAGACCAAGTCAGACTGGTCCTCTAAAAAGTTAAGTTAGCTGAAAAAGACATTTTTGTCCCTCCTCAGCACCAGGAACAAATCACCAATTCCCTTTTCAGGACAGAAGCCAGCACTGAGGCTGATGACCAGCACAGACTCTAGCTGACCGCAGATAACATGGGCTATGACAAGGGTTTTAGACCTGGGGACCTTCAGGGCTTGGCAATTCTAGGTTTTCAGAATAATTCCACAGAACCTACAGTTGAAAGAAAAGCCAAAAGGAAACAAAAGGGAAGGGCAGGCGGTAGGAATGTGTGGAGTGGTGGGTATGGACCTGCCCCTTCATCTCCAGGGTCGAACTCTCTCTCCCCAGGATGGAGTGTGACAAGCATGTATCTCACAGCTCAAATGCGTGAACAAATACAAACACGCTATCGGGTGACGCAGTGGCGTCAGGCACAGGGGGGGATGCTTCTGGCCACTGCAAAACCAAAGAGGCAAAGGGAAGAGACAAAACCCAACCCTTCGGGGAGGGTAAGGACAGGACTGGGCTGATGAGGCAGTTCAAGGACTCTCTCCTCAACGTCTCGGGACCTTGCCTTTGCAAAACACTTTCCACTGCTCCTGAATCTACTATACCCAAAGGCAATTTCCATGCCCCGGACAAAAATCCCAAGAAGTGAACCAAAAGCATTTTGACTATCGTGGCCAAGCCTCGGGTCTTACATTTGTTTCCTAGCTTGAGTGGCTGGTACTTTTGAGCCAAGAGGAAATGAGGGGATGCTTTCATAGAAGTATGGTTAAGGAATTCTGCTGACCCAGAAGTCTGGGTGGAGGCTTAATCTACATCTATCATTTTTAACAAAAATGATGAAAACCCCACAAGAACTGATGGTGTCCTGATCTCCACTCAGTCCTACTGAGCCAGAGCGGGAGGGTCTGGAGGCCAGTTGCTATTGGCGCAGCCCGCTGACGCCCAGGGGCAACCTCAACCGCTGTCGCTGGTGGGTGCAGGGCGTCGAAGCCTTCTGGGATTCCTTAGGGAAGGAGCCATCACCCACCTTTAACAGAATCACAGATTCGGGAATGACGCCAAGGGTGCCGAGGGTGGCACAGTCATCACTTAAAATCTTTCCATCAATTGACAGATTCTGGTCGAAAGGAGCAACTGAAAACGCGTGCATGATCTGTGCCAACGTGAAAGAAAGCGGGTATGAGGCGAAAAGTACTGAGACTTAGACCCTATTGGAATACATGAATACATGGATTCCTTAAACAAGCAAACAAACAAAAGAGACTATTCTTTGCAGTCAGCCCACTGGCTCCACTCCTACTGAGACTAGAATCCCAGCCGATCTGGGAACATCCTTAGGAGGCCTGGTAGAGAACAATTATACCCAGGGGCCCTTTTGTTCTGCGTCTTGCCCCCTCCCCCGCAGCGGAGGTGGGGTGGGGACCAAAGCAGCAGGTGGAGCGGGCGGGTGGCTCCTCTGGTTTTAAGGCCTGGGCAGGGAAGGACGGTCACTGTCCTCATGCCCAGCCCCACGTCCTTTTAACAATCAAGTCAAAAATTCTTCCCTAAGACCATCTTTAAATTAACCGGCAAGCCATCTTTCTGTCCTAATTTCTTGAGCAAGCCTGGACTACATAATTCAGCCCTTGGGACTGCGGTATTTTCTTAGACAGTCTCGCCTCTAGGAACCAAAATATGAACTTCTTACGGGAAGCGACCCCTTCCTAATTCTAGCCAATTGTTAAAAATTTAAGTACATTCAGGGGCCCCGGGGTGGCTCAGCTGGTTGAATGTCTGACTCTCGATTTCAGCTGAGGTTATGATACCAGGGTTGTGAGATCAAGCCCCACATCAGGCTCTGCGCTGAGCATGGAGCCTGCTTGGGGTTCTGCTCCCAACCCCACCTGTCTCCCCAACTTTCTCTCCAAATAAAAAATAATAATTTTAAAACGTTAAATACATTCAGGAAGACTACTATGCATAATACTTAAACATTTTTTCCAAGTTGACAAAAATGTCTTCTTTTTACCATTTCTGGGTAGTAATTACTAGTGGGCAGGCAAGGAGTGGGCCTTGGACAGGAGCACACAGGTACCTTCAATGGTATGTTCTAATTTGTTACTTGGCGGGTGAATTAAAGAGTATTCATTTTATCATGCTTCATAACTTACATACTCAAGTGAATGTTTTATTACATGTATGTTTATTACCAACGTCAATGTTACGGGAAGACTTTTCTACCTTTATATGCATGCTACTCCTCTACTCTCTGAATCCTGAAAGATGAAGCAGCCCTAAGCCAGTTGTGTGTATAACATGGCCCAAGAGCTTTCTAAGACAAGAAGACCGTGACCAGAAAAATGACTCTAATAACGGCATACAGAATATTAGAAACAAGGATAACAACACTGGATGGAATGTTAACGGAACTTCTCAAAAGGACGCCAGCTCCTGAGAAACAGAGATGGTTCTGGGGCGCCTGGGTAGCTCAGTCGGCTAAGCTTTCAACTCTGAACTTATGCTCAGGTCATGATCTCATGATTGGTCAGCAGTATGAGCCCTGTGTTGGGCTCTGCACTGCCACGTGGAGCCTGCTTGGGATTCTTTCTCTCGCTCCTCTCTCTCAAAATAAGTAAATAAACATTAAAAAAAAAAAGACAACACAGATAGCTCTGTGGCTGACATATACTGATATCATCAATAAACTGTCTTTGAATCAATAAGCCCATTTCTGGTAAGAAGTACTAACAGGACGCTTCTACCAGAGCCAGCCCAGTGCACAGGAACCAGGCGGAGGTAAGCAGGTTACCAAAGAGGACTCGGGAGGAAGAAAGCGGCGTTACAGTGCAGGTGTCCAGCACCAATTCAACGGGGCAACATTACAGCTGCCTGACTGCAGGGATGCCTGCTGGTAGTCCAGAGCACCCCGTGAGGTTGGACAAAGCAAACACCTCCAGACGTGAGCACCTTCACTGAGCGGCTGCTCAGGACTTTATGTGCTGAGCACACAGACAAGGACATTTGGCAACTAATGAAGGTTTTATTAAGAAGCTACCATGAGTCATATGCTTTGTTCAGTGTGGGAAATACAAATGTTGAGGGAGGAACCCCAGCCCAGAGGAGCTCAGAGAGTGAGGGCATAACAACACGGTGGGGCTGGGGGCAGAAGGTACATGTGAGATCTGGGGAGCATGGAGGAAAGAAGAGTCGGTTCTACAGCTGGAGGCCAAGGCAGGTTTGCAGAAGAGGAGCTATGAAAGATGAACAAGTATTTATGAGTGAGGAGAACACGTTACTTTAGAAGAAGGAATAGGCCAGTCAAGGGCATGGAGGCTGTTGGCACAGTAAAGCACAAGCCATAAAAATGCCTGCATATAATTAATAGTATATAGGTGCAGGGGTGCCTGGGTAGCCAGTGGGTCAGGCGTCTGACTTCAGCTCAGGTCACGATCTCACAGCTCGTGAGTTCGGGCCCCGTGTAGGGCTGACAGCTCGGAGCCTGGAGCCTGCTTTGAACTCTGTGTCCCTCTCTCCCCCTCTCTCTGCCCCTCCCCTATTTGCACTCTGTCTCTGTCTCTCTCAAAAATGGATAAACATTAAAAATATACATATATAGTATACAGGTACAGCATCCCTCATCTATAGAGCATATGAGGAACAACGAAAACCCTGTTCCTAAAGGGAAGCCACTCTGCGCCGCTCGCTATGGCCCAGGGGTGTGTGGCCAGAGGAAACACAGGGGCAATGGCTTCGGCTGGCAGCCATTTAACCACAGTGCCAACGTCCCCTCCTTACTAAGGCAGGCAGCATGACCCACTCAACGCGTCTGTGGGAAAAGGAAATAGAACAACACCAAACATCTTCTGCGAAGGGAGAGGCATCAATTGTGCCTCCATTTACTTTACGGTATCAGGGGTGGCTGAATTAATCATCAGTCAAGGCAAACTTCTTAAGATTTTAAGCAACAGTAAGTAAATGAGTACGTCTAGAATAAAACATTTACAATTTTACAAATGATGCCATCCTATTAACTTGGAAATGTACTCTCTCCAAGAGGAAAGGCTCCATCAAACATAAAAAAAGGCATTACATACTGAAAAAACAAAAACAGAAACCACTCACCACCACTATCTGAGGGCCACACTCATGCCCACCACAAACCCCAATGCTGGCCAGGCTGCCAGGCAAAAGGTCACATCTAGTGGAAGCTTCAAAAGCTACCTCCACTGAGCAGCAAGGGGAAATTACATCTCACTGCCCTTTCTTTTGACTCAGGGTGGCACGGTTTCAAAGCCCGGGTGGGGGTGGGAGGAAGGACACTGCAAAGGGCCCATCAGAGAAGGGCACGTCGGGGTTTCATCTGAACGGCGGCTGGCTTCTAACCGCTCCGCTGTGCAGGTAACGTGTTCCTAAACAGAGGTGATTTCTGCTGACTTTCGATTTGTTCTTTAAAACTGGGAGTCCATAATAAAAGCAGCACAGGCTTTTTAAATGTCTTTATTCACAGGGGCTCTTTTTGTAATTTAAAGGTTTTGAATGTTCGAGGTTTACCACTGACAGGCCAAAAGTCGGTGACAGAAACAAGCTTTCTCAAATGTAAAAGGTACAATAACAGAGTAAAGACATTATGCCAACACGTTTATTTTCAGAGCCCTGGGTTCAACCAAGGGAAATGCTGTTCCCAGGACAATCTGGAACATATAACGCCCTCAAAGGAAGCCTGTACTTTTGTCTCAATTACAATGATAAATATCAGCAGCAAGAAGAAAATGCAGAACCAGTAAACTATGCCACATGAAAGCAGCAAAGAGGGAAATTTGGTCGACTTTCTGGATATACATCAGTGTCTGAAACCGATTAGGGGCCAGTTGTTTTTTTTTTCCCCCCTCTTTCATGGGCATCTTGAACTTATCAGTCCCTCCTGCCAAAAATTTGGGACACACCACTGCCACCCTTATGTACAGTACTTTAGTATTGATAGTAAGAAATAACAAAATCATCTAGCATTTTTATAATGCCTCCAGTGCAATCGCTCAGCTGATGTGCCAAACAATGCTTGTTATTGGGGGGGGGCGGGGGGCGGAGAATGGGATGGAGAGGAAAATAATCTAAAACAAATTTTTAAAAACCCATGTGGAAAACATCAATCTATAAAGAGAGGTAACTTTAAAATTCTATCAAATAGACTTATGTGACACCAAAAATATTGTGATTAAAAAAATTCCAGACTCATCCAAGTGAATAAACAATGAAGTAGCTGCCTTTTATTTCCCCTCCAGTTTCACAGCAGATCCGGGTAACTGGCTCCAATACTTATTAAGTGGTCAAAGGAAAACATACGGCACAATAAAGCGAGGGAACATTTATCCCCGGACAACCTCGGCGTGCAGCGCATTTGAGGGCTCTCAATCTCAATGTTCCTCATTATTGGAAAGCTACGCAGAACTTGCCCAAGTTTTCAGAATCCAAACCACTTTCACCTTCAGAGAAAGATTCTTGGCTATCTTGTGAGGCTTCTTAAAAATTTTTAAATTTATTTATTTATTTATTTATTTTTTTAAATATTTTTATTTATTTCTAGGAGAGATAGAGACAGCGTGAGCAGGGGAGGGTCAGAGAGAGAGTGAGAAACAGACTCTGAAACAGGCTCCAGGCTCTGAGCTGGCAGTCAGCACAGAGCCCGACGCGGGGCTCAAACCCACGAACCATGAGATCATGACCTAAGCGAAAGTCGGACGCTTAACCAACTAAGCCACCCAGGCGCCCCTAAATTTATTTTTAAGTAATCTCTACACCCAACGTGGGGCTTGAACTCACAGCCTGAGATCAAGAGTTGCGTGTCCCACCAACTGAGCCAGCCAGGTACGCCAATTCTTGGCTATTTTGAAAACTTTAAGTTTTTTAAAGGAGTTATTTCAAATTAGGGGTCCTGTGGGCAATATTCTGAAATCAAAAGAAACCCTTCTCAATGGATTAATACTAGGAGGGTGGACCCTGAAAGAAAACAGAGGCGTACATAAACCTGGGGCAAAGCAGGAAGGTCCCTTCTAAGTTGACAGCGTACTTAAACAAACATTGTATTTTCCTCACCTGAATTTTCAATTCTTTTAACGTTTGATTAGCAGAAACAAGAAGTGCTTTCTCACCGCGAACTTTTCTATGTCGCATACTGCGCCGAATGACTTGCTTTTGATAGGCTACGTAGTTCTGATGGGTTATCTTTTGCCGCTTGGTTCCTCCATTGCTCTGTAATAAAAACCCAGAACAAACAAAGCATTGAGATGATTCACTCTGTGACCCATGCTCATGAAGTTCATCAGAGAGACAAAAGCAATTTACTTATTGGTCCCTTAAACATTTGAAATTCAGGGTCAACAATGAATAGAAACTCACCAGGCTCACATAAAATTGAAAAAGAAAAGGATGCGTGAGATATACTGGTAACTGCATGTAAGCACCAGGTGTTTTTCAAAAAATTACTATAAAAAGGACATTTAAAAGCAAAATGGTACCTTTGACCTTAAGTCAGGAGCACACACGTGATAAACTAAAAAACTTTAAGATTACTAAATTTCATCCAGAAACAATCTGAATCGTAATGTTTGTATTACACGGTTTCTTTTTGAGAAGGCAAGGAAACTGAGTATAAACAGCTGAGAACTCTCAAAAGAAAAGACATTAATAATAAAGACATCAAACTCGGTTTAACTAAAAACGGGACATGCTATGCCTCTTGACAGGATCAAGAAAGAGCTCTGTCTGTGAAAGATCTTTGCGAAAATTTTTAGACCTGAATCTAATCAAACATCGGAGCCGATTTCCAATATACAAAAAATACAGAGACCAGAGAAACAAACTGAAATCAATAATGTAAGGGGCAATCAGCTGCATCAGAGATGAGGGACAATCTATAAGACATCAAAGGTCAAAGAGGAAAAGAAAGGGGGTAAGGAGGTAGGACGAGCCTTCTAGATATAATACAATGTACATCCTGACATTGTTGGTTTGAGGGGGAAATACTATTTTGCATATTTGGGACACCTGGAAAAATTTGAGTATGGGCAATAGAACACTATCTTACTTATATGCTGCTTTAAGTCTGTATATATTTTTTAAATTTTAGAGCAAGCGAGTGGAGGTAAGTGGCGGAGGGAGGGAGGGAGGGAGAGGGAGAGGGAGAGAGAGAGAGAGAGAGAGAGAGAGAGAGATAATACCAAGCAGTCTGACTCAGGGCTCGATCAAACAACCCTGGGATCATGACCTGAGCTGAAATCAAGAGTCAGATGCTCAACAAACTGAGCCAGCCAGGCGCCCCTGATTTAAGTATTTAGAGGTGAAAAGTCATGATGGATATGATTTACCTAAAGATAGTTCAGCAAAATATTCAGGCATACATACATATGGATACAGAATTCCTAATGTGCCAATCTTGAGGAAAAAAAATGATAGATAAGGACCAAATGTCTTCCTACAACACTCCCACAAATGCCTCATAAGAAGGCTAACAGTCAAGAGTCTTCTGTTAACCAGGCCAAGGAATGAGAGACACAAGACTCCTTAAACAAGTTTCCCCCTGCTTTAATTAAATCGGGATGAGGTAAGCCCCCAGGCCCTGGCTCCGGTCCCTGCAGCTGTCACTGAGCGTTAGCTGTGCATGAGCAGAGTGGTTCAGGGGCCACCATGGACACAGGTGCCACAGACTCATTACTGACAGAGACCCGGAGACTTACAAAGTAGATGAGGATCAGGACGCAAGCTGACAAGAGCACTGGCGCAGGGTGACACCCGCTGGCTAGGCTCCACGCACGAGGCTCAGCAATAGTCCTGAGGCTACAGAGACACACAGGTGGTTCTAACATTCGTTAAGAAAAAGCTAGGGGCACCTGGGTGGCTCAGTTGGTTGAGCGTCGGACTTTAGCGCAGGCCATAATCTCGCAGATTGTGGGTTCGAGCCCCGCGTCAGGTTCTGTGCTGACAGGTCAGAGCCTGGAGCCTGTTCCAGATTCTGTATCTCCCTCTTTCCTGACCCTCCCCTGCACACGGGCTCTCTCTCTGAGAAAATAAAACATTAAAAAAAAAAAAAGTCATGTGGGGGACTCAGCTGGTTAAGCATCTGACTGGCTCAGGTCATAATTTCACAGTTCGTCGGTTCGAGCCCTGCGCTGGGCTCTGTGCTGACAGCTCAGAGATGGAGCCTGCTTTGGATTCTGTATCTCCCCCACACATGTGCTCTCTGTGTTTCCCCAAAATAAATGAACATTTACAAAAAAAATTTTTCAAGTAATGTGGCAAGTGGAGTTAAAAAACATAGGGGCACCTGGATGTCTCAGTCAGGTAAGCATCTGACTCTTGATTTTTGGATCAGGTCATAATCTCAGGGTTGCTGAGATTGAGCCCCGTGTCTGGGGCTCTGTGCTGACAGAGCAGAGCCTGCGTGGGATTCTCTTTCTCTCCTTCCTTCTGCCTTCCCCTGCTCATGCGTGTACATGCTCTCTCTCTCAAAATAAATAAAAACATTAAAAAATAATAAATTAAAAGCTGATGAAACAGTTTCTTTAATCTCAACCACAGAAAGGAAAGATGAAGGTGGACCCAAATTCCCAAGTTACAAAGGCTAAAAATATCTACAATGTATCCAAATTTTACTTTAGAAATACAAAACACAATCAAATAACAAATCCCTGGGCATTAAGGAAGATACATTTTTTTTAAAGTCTCTGATTTTAAATGGGTCTAAAAGCTTTTCCCAGAATTATTAAAAAAAAAAAAAAGAATTTAAATCCAACTATCTGACAAAAACCAGCCCACTGGTTTTAGATGGCTTTCAATTACCTAAGTGATATCCGACACTGGGTGCATTATTAACCTGAACTATAGAAAAGGTCAAAGTCAAAGGGACTGGATTGATCTAGCTTAGAGAAAAAAAAAAAGGGGATTTGTTCCTCCCCATTAAGGACAAGCAGAGATGCATCATTTCCTATTACAGGGATTTTAAACTGCAATTACAGAAGCTATCTGTGTCCTGAACTGTAGTACATAACAAAGCAAATGTCTGAGGACCCTAAAGTTCTGAAAAAGTACACCATTCTTATGGGGCCATCTCTTTTCTAAAGGAAGGCTAAATTTTGAGGGTCAAAAATATTTAAAACATTCTAGAATATGACAATATCCAAACAAGGAGAGGGAAGACAGAAGAAAATTATAATGTATACATAAAAAAAAATTATAGCATAAAGAGCGATGTTTCCCAGCATTCTCTGTCATATTTGTAAATATGAAATCTGCAGTCATCCACAACTGAGAACAGTAACTCCACATCCACTCTTTAGAAACTGCTGTGGTTATAACCACAATGAATAAAACTAGACATTCAGAAACGCTGGCTTCCCAAAATTCTACATCACTCGAAAATGTGAAGAGATTTCTAAATTAACTCAGGCTGAAGAGCAAAGCTTAAAACAGAAACTAAGGACAATATGCACTTACATATCTAGCTTTACAAACTCACTGACAAAATGTATCTATTTATTCAGAAAATGAGTCAGCGACAAAAGATTTGGAAAAACAAAAAAGATTTCCAACTCATTATTAAACCATACATCCAACAGACAATCATTAAAACAATATGGTACTGCCAGCCAAGCAACGAAAAGAAAATAGAGTCCTAAGTCCGGAGATGTTCGCTGCCCTCCACAAGCATGTAATTTTAATGTATCAACTAAAATGAGCAAACAGACTAGTCTGCGGGTCTCTGATTTGGAAGATGGATTGTATGAGGCAACAGAGACTGAGAAGAATTGAAGACAAACACGGTTAGGAGTGAACTGCAAAGGTAGGTCAGCCAACTCCAGTCAAGAGTAATCTCAAAATCTGTGCCAAGAAACAGAGGACCTACATGGACAAAGATATGAGTAAGCACAGTATTTACAATGTCCCATCAAAATAAAAAAATCGGCATTCCTGTAAAATGTATGGGGTTGGCTATTTCTGAAGTGAAGGGGCCCATCCACTGTGGCCTGACTGAAACACAAATTGGCCTGAAAGACTGGCAGACCGTGATCAGCAGGGGGTGGGGGTGCCAAATGCCCGGTACTGTTCTTGGATAGGTGTTCACAGTTAGCATTTCAGGAGATTTAACAAGGAGGGCAATCAGATGTGGATCTCTCTGTACCAGGTGGAAAATACAAGTAACATTCACCACACGGAGACCAAAATTCAAGCAAACAGGGCTTTTCTGGCTTTCTGATGGTGAAAATGTATATGGGTAGCTCCACTTTGTAACAGATTAGCAGATGCAGAGTCTAACCCCTGTATTCCTTTAGGGTTAAACATAATTTGGCTACTCTAAGCACCAAAGAAAGAAAGTATTTCAGCTGATACAACTAAATCGTAATCAAGGAGAAATTCCATGCATTTCAGTTTTCAAGGAACTCGGTAGTCTGGCTTTGTGAGAAGCTGAAACTTATCTATACCATATATCAACCATATTCCCAAGTTATTTCCTGTTCTTAATATCCTTTTCTCCAATATCACTATGAACAGGCAAAATATAAGTGGGACAGAACATCACAACAGAATACACACAAAACAGGAAACTTTAAGAGAAAAACATTAAATTCGTCACAATGAAATAAGAAAGACTAATGCTGATCTGGTTCATTTTACTGATACCTTAATTAGAAACCTAGAAATCTCTTCTATAAATTCAATTACTAAGACCATAGTTGATTTTGTTTGTAGTGATGGAAATCAGGACTTAATGTTTTCATACTTAAATATTCCATGATTAAGCAACACATGAAGATATGCATCTCATTTTAATCTTCTTTTCCAGCTAATGATTTGATCATTATATTATATTTTAGCCAGTCTTACTTACTAGCAACAAATATATTAATCATGGAATAATACAGTTCACAGGATTTTGAGAGAAATCAGGGCCACTACTGTCTGCGACCAAAAGTGAGGAAGAGAGGGCAAACAAAGGAGCTGAGAAACCAATGTCCCACGCAGGGTACAGACAAATGTCCTGGGGCAGGGAGTGGCTGCTTTCAGAAAAGCGGAAGGTAGGACAACAAAAAGCAGCTTCAACACGTACTTGATTAAAATCAGGATCTTTTTCTCCATCTGGTTTAGCTTCTTCCTTATCCTCCTCTGTTTCAGAACTACTCACATTCAGCTCTGGAACTGAATCCTTCATCACCTGAATGCAAACAGAGAGAGAGAGAGAGAGAAAAAAAGGGGGAAAGGGAAAGGGGGGAGAAGGGGGGGAGGGGGAGAGAGAGAGGGATACGGAGCGGGGAGGGGGGAGAGAGAGAGAGAGTCAAAACCTTGCAGGGCAGGCTTTGAATGGTGTGGGGGCTTTATCAATAGTGGGATAATAGACCAGGCAGAGAGGATCAAGACTCAAGGTCTGTTTCCTGTGCTCTTTTAACATGTTAGTTTGTATCCTAGGACTTACTCTTGTATATAATGTGGTCATCATAAATGTAAGTAAGCAGTATCTGCAGAAGTTATTACTATCAGGCTTTTACAATGATGTGATTTTACAGAAGGTCAAAGAGGCTCTAAGTTTACCCTGTACCCTAGCATGGGGACTGTCAAACCATTCAGACAGCTGGAGCCACAATACTCCTTCCAACTGAGAAAGGGAAGGATGGAGCAAGTGCTCTTTTACATTATGAAATACCCGTTAGGAAACTCCAAACAAACAATAAAGCTTTAGATACACTGGATACTATTTTTTTAAATGTATTTATTTTTGAGAGAGACAGAAAGCATGGGGGAGGAGTGAAGAGAGAGAATCCCAAGCAGATTATGCCCTGACAGCCCCAAGCCTGATGTGAGGCTGAAACTCAGGAACCTTGAAATCTTGACCTGAGCCTTGAAATCTTAACGCTGGTTACCGTTTGCCATCATATGTTTGAAGATTTACTTTTTTAGCAAATTCCAAATTTCCAATATAATATTGACTATACTTACCACTATATACATTATATACTCTACATAGCCATGACTTCATTATTTTATAACCAGAGGTTTGGATTGCTTGATCTCCTCCACCCACTTGGATGCTTAACTGATTGAGCCACCCTGGTAACTCCTTCACCCATTTTTTTTTTTTTTTAATTTATGTATTTATCATTTTGTGAGAAGAGAACAAGAACGCAAGTGGGGGAGGGAGGGAAAAGAGACAGAGTCACAAACAGGCTCCAGGCTGTTAGCCCGAAGCAGGGCTAGATTTTATGAACCCAGCGACCATGACCTGAGCCAAAATCAAGAGGCAGATGCTTAACTGAGGCACCCAGATGACTCAAGGTCACTGTAGTTTTGTAATATAATTCAAAATCATGAATCCAGCTTTTTTCTTTCTCAAGATTGCTTTGGCTGCTGGAAATGTTCTGTGGTTCCATTCAAATTTTACGATTGTGTTGTTTGATTTCTGTGAAAAAGGCCATTTCAATTTGATAGAGGTTCCACTCAATCTGTAGATTACTTTCAGTAATATCGTTACTTTTACAATATTAATTCTTCCAATTCATTAGCAAGGAATAGCCTTCATTTCGTGTCTTCTTCAACTTCCTCCATCTTCCAGTTTTCAGTACAGATCATTTACCCAATTGGTTAAATTTATTCCTATTTTCTTTTTCAGGGATGTGTAAATGGGATTGTTTCCTTAAGTTTTCTGGTGGTTTGCTGCTAGATGTACAAAAATGCAACTGATTTTTTTTTTTAAAGCTCTACACCCAATGAGGGGCTTGAACTCATAGCCCTGGAATTAGGAGTCACATGCTCTACAGACTGAGCCAGCCAGGTGGCTTGCATCTGATTTTATTATATATTGATTTTGTACCCTGCAATAGAGCAAAATTTGTTTGTAAGTTCTAACAGTTATTTGGCGAAGCCCTTAGGGTTTTCCATACATAAAACCATGTCATCTGTAAAGAGCGATAGTTTACTTCTTCCTTTCCAATTTGGATGTGTTTTTATTTCTCTTTCCTAGCTGCTCTTGCTAGGTTTTCTAATAGTAAGTTGCATAAAAGTGGTGACAATTGAAAGCCTTGTTCCTGATCTAAAGGGGAAAGCTTTCACCTTTTTAGTATCGACTATAATGTTAGCTGTGGGCCTGTCATATGAGACCTTAATTCTGTTGAGGTATGTTCAATCACTACCCACTTTATTTTTTCTTATAAATGGATAATACATTTTGTCAAATGCTTTTCTGCATTGAGATAATGTTATTTTATCCTTTTTATTAATGAGGTGTATCATATGGATTGATCTGCAGATGAATCATCCTTGCTTCCCCACTTGATCACAGGGCATGCTCCTTTTAACATACTGTGAAATTTGGTTTGCTAATATTTTGTTGAGGGTTTCTGCACCAAAGGTTACAAGAGATATTTGCCTCTAATTTTCTTTTTATGCAGTATCTTTGCTGGACTTGAAAACTAAGTTTGGGAGCACTCTCTCATCTTCTACTTTTTGGCACAGAGCCGGACATGGAGCTGGAATTCACAAACCTTGAGATCATGACCCAAGCTGAAGTTGGACATTTAACCAACTGAGGCACCCAGGGACCCTGCAGTCAACTTATCCTTTAGTTCTGTTAACATCTGCCTTACATACTTAGGTACCCATATGTTGGGTGCATATTTACAAATGTTACACGTTTATGTTCTTGTTGGATTGACTTATTGTTATGTAACAACTATCTTTGCCTTACTATAATCTTTTTTTAAAATCTATTTTCTCTGGGGGCACCTGGGTGGCTCAGTCGGCTCAGGTCATGATCTTGTGGTTTGTGATTTCGAGCCCCGCGTCGGGCTCTGTGCTGACAGCTCAGAGCCAGGAGCTGCTTCAGATTCTGTGTTTCCTTCTCTTTCTGCCTCTCCCCTACTCATGCTCTATCTCTCTCAAAAATAAATAATGAATCATCAAAAAAAATTTTAAACCTATTTTCTGATATAAATAGCTTTCCTTTGGTTTCCATTTGAATAAAACAGCTTTTTCTATCCCTTCACTTTCAGTCTGTGTATCCTTACATCCGACAGAAGTCTCTTATAGGCAACATGTAAGTGGCAGATAAGTCTTGTTTTTTGTGTCCATTCACCTACTCTGTGTCTTTTGATTGGGAAATTTAGTCCACTTACATTTAAAGTAACCATTAATAGGCATTTCCTTATTGCCAATTTGTTGTTTTCTTGTTCCTCTCCTCTTGCTCTCCTCCCCTGTCCATTGATGACTTTGTTTAGTGCTATGCTTAGATTCTTTTCTCATTATCTTTGGTATCTACAATAGGTTTTTGCTTTGTGGTTAACACAAGAGTCACACTTAAAATACACTGTTATATAGCAAGTTAAATTGCATCATATTCTACAACTGTTTTTGTTTTTATACCTCCAATGTTTTTGATATAATTTTCTACATCTTTTTTATTTTTTGGGTCCCTTAACTACTTTTAACCTTCATACTAGCTTTATTAAGTGATTAACCACTTCCTTTACTATATATCACTGAGATTTTTACTTTCACATTTCCTTATAACTAATTAGTATCCTTCCTTTCAGCTGAAAGAAGTCCCTCTACTATTTCTCATAGGGCTGGTTTAGTGGTGATAAACTCTTTTAGCTTGTACTTGTCAGGAAAATTTTCTCTCTCCTTTACTTCTGAATGATATCCTTGCCAGGAACAGTGTTTTTGATTCAAAGTGTTTTTCCTTCAGTCCTCTGACTATGTCACGTTACTCCCTCTGACATGAAGAGACTGTATTGTAAGTCTTTCTCGGAGATTCCCTCCTAGGTAACAAGCTGTTTTTCTCTTGCTGAATTTAAGATTCTCTAACTTTTGGGGCGCCTGGGCAGCTTAGTCGGTTAAGCGTCCGACTTTCGCTTAGGTCATGATCTCGCGGTTCGTGGGTTCGAGCCCCGTGTCGGGCTCTGTGCTGACTGCCAGCTCAGAGCCTGGAGCCTGGTTCAGTCTGTGACTCCCTCTCTCTCTGACCCTCCCCTGCTCACGCTGTCTCTCTCTCTCTCTCTCCTAGAAATAAATAAAACATTAAAAAAAAAAAAAGATTCTCTAACTTTTGAGAAAATTTTAATTAGTGTGTCATGGTGTGTAACTTTTTGGGTTTCTTTTATTTGGAATTCTCTGGGCTTCCTAGATTCAGGTGTCTGTTTCTTGCCTACATGAGGGAAATTCTCGGCCATTACTTCTTCAAAGAAGTTTTCTGCCCATTTCTTCCCCCCCTTCTCCTGGCGCCTATATAATATGTCTGTTGTTCTTTTGCATGTGGCGTCACAGGTCCCTTAAGCTTTCTTCACATTTAAAATTTTTTTTAACTGCTCTGGGTGAATTCTGTAGTGTATTCCAGATCACTGGCCTTTCTAGTGTTTGAGGTAATCTCCTGTAGACACCCTCTAGTATATTTTTCAGATCAGTTTTTGCATTCTTTAGCTTTGTAACTTGATGCTCTCTTATATTTTCTACCTCTTTATAGAATGAAACTGTGTTCATCAATTATTCTCCCAAATTCTGTAAGCATCTTTATGACCTTGACTTTGAACACTTTATTAGGTAAATTACTTATCTGTTTTGTTAAGGTTTTTTGTTTGTTTGTTTTCCTTTTTTGCTTGTGTTTTTACCTTGGAACCCATTCCTCTGTGTGCTCATTTTGCTGGACAGTTTCAATGGGGTAAGTGGAACTCTCTCCTGGTCTTGAAGGAGTGGCCCTGCATTAGCACTGAATCTTACTATTTATTTAACCTTCTCTTACTTCTAGTTTGTATGTCTGAACTTCTAGTTTCTATGCCCCCAGGTCTGAAACTGAGTGTTTCAGACCTGGGGGCATAGAAAGGCAGTCCCCTCCAGCCATGAGAGCCCAGTGCCCAACGGGCATCCCTTGTGTAGGCTGGATCCATTCCCCACAGCTCTATGGTTCCTGTGAATGTAAGCCCCCTTGGTTTTCAGATACATTCGGGGGCCTCCTCTCTCTGCTGCATGTCCTAAAGGCTGGGGTACCTGTGGGTCAAAGCCCTTCTCTCCTCAGGGAGGAGTTCCCTATTTACGAGATTCCCCCCCATGGTGGGTTGCTGTGCAAGGAAGTGGTAATTTTGATGAAACTGTATCTCTGCGACCCGTCTTGATGTGGCCCCTTTATCCTTTGTGAGGCACCTGTTCACCTAGTTCTCGGTTCCTTTCAGAGGGAGTTATTCCACATGTAGCTGGAGACGTGCGGTATCTGTAGGTGGAGGTTACGTGCAGGATCTTGCTATGCTATCATCTTGAACCTCCTCCCTTTCTGGGTTTGGTCTTGATCTTCTGCATGAGACACAAATATTCTTTTTCTTTTTTTTTTTTTAAGTAGGCTTCACCCCCAGCACAGAGTCCAAGGCAGTATTTGAACTCACAAACCTGAAATCAAGGGCCAGAGGCTTAAGCAACTGAGCCACCCAGGCACCTCAAGAGAAACAAATATTCTTGAGGGCAGACACCTTGTCTGTCTTTTTCACCATGGAATTCCCTCCCTGCCAAGACCATTCCTGGCACACAGCTGACATCCAATAATTATCTGTGGAACAAATTAATAACTGACTAAATCCACATATAATCAATGTAACTATTCATTTTCACTCCTTATCCGATTTCAATTCTTAGGCCAAATAGCTCTAAGGAAACAAAAATGTGATCCTAGATCCTAGATCCTCCGTGAAAAGCCAACCGCAAGCCAAAAAGCAAGCTTGATCGTTACTGGTCATGGCCACAAGAGGGACTGGTACCTTTTTATTATCCACAACTTTGTGGACGTAGATGGTGGCTTGAGTGTACTCACGCAGGTCCCGCTGCTGTTGACACAGTAAGCCCTCTCTGCATTCTGGACAGAGTTCTAAAAAACAGAGCAAACCAGAAGTGGCTGAGGAATTAATGTCAAAGAAAAGAATAATACAAAAACAAACATCAAAGTAACCAGGAAGCATTCACTAATTAACTATTACTCATATTTTCTATTAATTTATTCCATTGAGCTAATAATAAGGAAATCCATTTACTATCAACAAATAAAGACACAAAGAATGGAATGAGAACAGGTTAGTTACTGTCTGGGGTGTATTAGTCTGGACCAACACATGGTCTCTAATTGTAAGTAGGGAATAGAGTGGTCACTTCCTTTCCTTCCCTCTTAAAATGTCAACTTTTAACTGTACAAAATGTATATAGATGAATATGAAAACTTACTTGGCTCAGAAATATACTGTGTTTCTGAAGGGCTGACATCTCCCACTTCCGTTCTTGTGATTTTAATTACATGATCCACGACAAAGAGCTTTTGAATCATCTGCCACTCGCTGGGCCATATGAGAGCTATACTGTGCAAAAGAACCCAACATGCCTTAGGACACATGGAAATTAGGAGAACCAACACAATCTGCTCGTCTCCCCAAAACTAAAAGCGATATTTAATACAAAGAAGTTCAAAAGGAAAAGATACATCTTCCTCAACAATGAACAGTAGATACCCTCATACAAAACAATGATGTTTGTTATAGCGGTGAAAGCAAATGGACTGAAATTATAGGAACCAATGTGGCAATATTTCAAAATCCGAAACTGAATACATAAGTTAGTTGTAGAAGGATATCATATGCTGCCCATTTATATAAAACATTTAAAATATGCAAAATATTACTCTGTGTGTGTGTGCGCGTTTTAAAGTAGTATTTCTGAGGATGATAGCCCTCAACTTCAGGCCAGTGGTTACTGCAAGGGACAAAGAGAGAGAGAAAAGGAGGAATGGAAGAAAGGATAAGTACTAAGGGACCTTAGATTTCATTTGAATTCTTTTTTAAGTCAATTTTATTTATTTTTTTTTAATTTAAAAGACAGAGAGCGTGCAAGTGGGGCGGGGGGAGGGAGATTGATTCTTAAACAGGCTCCATGATCAGTACAGAGCCCAAAACAGGGCTCAATCCCACGGCCCTGGGCTCATGACATGAGTGACATGAGCTGAAATCATGGGTTGAACACTCTACCAACTGAGCCACACAGGCGCCTCTGAATTGTTTAACTTTTAAGCTGGCTAGTACACATATCTGTTTTATTATTATAGATATTTTCCAGATGTCCAACATTTACAGCACCCCCGCCCCACAAAGAGGAAGGAAGGAAAGAGAGAGCTGGGGGAGAACCTAGAAGATGTAGACTAACTCTAAGCTTCCATAATGATGTTAAAGTATTAACACGAATAATGAACTCCCCACCTCTAGCTTAGTCCCAAAGACACTTTTATGTGTTCCAATTTTCACGGTTTCTATCACAGGCACTCTACCTTCTCTTACACAGTTAAACATTATTTGAAAAGATAAAATGGCAACAGCAGGGGGTGAATTTCACATTACGAGTCCTCCTGGAAGCACTTGAAGGGTGGCACAAAAATTCTGATGTTAAGACCCCAGAATTCCTGATGACCAGCTTATTGGCTTTGTTCTGGGGCCAAGCTGCCTTCCTCCTCTTTGTTTCCTGAAGCCTCGTGGCTGCAGGAAAAACTGCTACAATCAAGACCCTGGTGGCTCTGGGCTGCTGGAAGGCATCTGCTGAGAGGCCGTACTGGTACGAGCAGCAGGAAGAAGAAAGCAGGGCTTTGGGGAGGACAAAGCACAGAAAAAGAGCAAGGTGGTCTCAGGGGGCTTCTCGCCTTTTATGCAGAGGCAGTCTTGCTTTCTTTAAAAGAAAAAGTTACGTGCTCCACTCTGGTGGAGTTTATGAAATGACACACGACCCCCCCCACCCCCATTCAGCGAAGGCCTAGATTCTTCAAACAGACTGCTTATGTCAGAGGAAAAATTACCTAAATATACTTCATTAGTCATTAGAAAAATCACAAGAGAAGAAACTCACAGTTTAGAATCTTCTTTGGTCATGGAAGCAAATGTAAACATGAGTCCCCCGTGGGGGCACAGAAGAGCACTGTTTCCAACTGAAGACACGGGACTACATCTTGTGGGTTTTCTATTCAAACGAGACAAGGAGGGCCAACACTTCACTATGGCAATGACTTCAGATTTTTAAAGTAATTATTTTTAAGTCAGGCACACATTTAAAAGGATACTTGTTAAATAAATGTTTTCTTAAATTTAAATTAAAAGAAAGCTTTTAATATGTTAAAAAAAAAAAAGTGACCATCAATGATACCATGATCAGAATCCGTAACTTTTTTATTTTAATTTTTATTTATTATTTTCATTTTAAGAAGCCTCTACGCCCAACATGGGGCTTCAACTCACTGCTCTAAGAGTCACATGCTCTACCAACTGAGCCAGCCGGGTGCCCCTAGAATCCGCAATTTTTTTTAATGTCATTGGGATTTTGACATTTATTTTTAAAAGATAGAGTGTGGGCAGGGGAGGAGGGGGTCAAGATCTGAAGCAGGTTCTGAGCTGTCAGCACAGAGCATGACGCAGGGCTTGAACCCACGAACTGTGAGATCATGACTTAAGCTGAAGTTGGATGCTTTAACTGACTTGAGCCCCCCAGGTGCCCCTGGAATCCGTAATTCTTAATATTAAAATAAACAACAACAAAACGCAATAAAAAATGTTGGGTTCTACCTGACAAATTTCCGCCATTCCTCTACAAAGAACTGTGACACGATGTACAGGACCTCTGTACCCTGGAAGAGACGCACATGCAAGTGCCTGTTAGCTCAGTGCTAACCGAAATCCTTTAGGCAAAATGCTTTTTTCCATATACTGTGTTTCTCCTTCTTCAAGTTTTACAAATAATATGTAAATACAGTCCTCTGCCAAGGAACCGTAAGCTAGAATAAACCCACTGATTAGACTATGTAACCATGAGAATCTGGGTTGTTCTGAAACAGTTCACTGGGAATTTGTCAAGAGCCTTAAAAAGGTAAGAATTCTATCCCTTGAATAGATGACCATCATACCTCTGGCCAGTTGCTGAGACATGGTCTGTTCTTGTCCTGGAACAAATTCGGAAGAGAAGTCTTTTGCTCATTTGCAATCATCTTATGTAAGGCTTCATTTTCTTCCCCTTCCCTTTCTAAAATCTGAAAAAGAGAATGAAGCAAAAAGCAATCAACCCCCTCCTGCTGGCAGCGCAGGACTTGCCTCCTCCCTCCCCCATCCCAAGTACAATGTCAGTTCTGAGAAGTGAGTCCAGGGAGGCGGCCCGCGATCCCCACAGATGCCAGCAACAACCTTCGGTACCTTGCACTGTGAGCAGCATTCTCTGTAACTTGGAAACTCAGGAGCCTTCGGAAAGTACTGCTGCAGTTTGCTCCAAGCCTCTTTAGAAACAAGCCGTCTTTCATTTTCAGATATGCATAGCTCCCCTGAGTTTAAAACAAACAAACAAAAATATTTTGGGGAAAACAGCTTTAAAAGGTCAATATATACCCGTCAAAAGTCTACCTCCTGGGGCGCCTGGGTGGCTTAGTCGGTTGAGCGTCCGACTTTCGCTTGGGTCATGATCTCGCGTTCGTGGGTTCGAGCCCCGCGTCGGGCTCTGTGCTGACTGCCAGCTCAGAGCCTGGAGCCAGTTTCAGAGTCTGTGATTCTTTCTCTCTCTGACCCTCCCCTGCTCACACTCTCTCTCTCTCCTAGAAATAAATAAAAATTAAAAAAAAAAAAAAAAAAAAAAAAAAAAGTCTACCTCCTATTGCATCAACTGCAGGAAAGTTTGTATGTACTCTCTTGTGTTTTCTGTAACTTGCTCCCTCTTTCCCTCATTTCAAAAATCTGTAGATTTCATCTTTAAGGTCATTTAACTCTAAAGGTGGTAGCCTTTCCTGTATGTGCTTAGTCTGGGTCTGTGGTTGAAAAATCAGGAGGTAAAATCACATAGACGAGAGTCGGCCATGCACTTCCTATCTTCCTGCCAGTGAAGAAAGCAGTAAAAGGGGCTGCGGGGATCGTGGTGCCCCTGTGACAAGGCAGGGGTTGTTCAGGAGGAATGCACCTCCACCTAGACTCAAATGCCACACTTGCCTACATGTTTTTTCTTTTCTTTTCTTTTTAATGTTTTAGAGAGGGCAAGTGAGAGGGAGGGGAAGAGGGACAGGGAGAGAGTGAATCCCAAATAGGCTTTCCACTGTCAGCCCAGAGCCCAACACAGGGCTTGAACCCATGACCCTCAAGTTCATGACCTGAGCTGAATTAACAGACGGAGTCACTTGAATGCCACTGTGGTTCCAATTTGTATTATTTGGCTGCTCTCAGCTGATACTTTAGTAAGCTGCGTTTATGTTTTTAAATGTAGTCATTACCCAAAAACACCTTTACGTTTTGAAAATGATACAATTGTTTCTACCCCCATAATGAAGAGTAATAAAGTCAGTGGCCTTTCTAAATACTGTATTATTATTTTTTGCTTTACATATTCTACATAATAAACTGAGAATCAGAAAAATTGGTATAGTCACTGTAGGTTGTTTATAATGAAGCTGGGATATACCCCAGGTCTGTCCCATCCAAACCCCACAATTTCTAACACCTCAAAAAGCATATTCTTACCTTACACCGCTTACTGAGCTTTGAATACTCTCAAGAAAGGGTTACTTTGTATTAAAAAAAAATTACCAGAGAAAATAGGCCACAATGCAAAACTTCACTTTCTGAGTAGGCTGTTAAATTTCCTGAGGCTCTAAGATCCACCCCAACGTGTCTGTCCTCAGACACAACAGGAAATTTTTTTAAGGTTAATTGGTTTATCAGATGTTAACAAAGTGCCTCTTTTTTGATGAAACATGATGCAGCCATAAAAAATATTACGGTAGAATTCCACAACTGATTTAGAAAAAACCCCAAGGCAGTTATAGTTTTAAAGTGGTTTCTTTCCTTTTTTCCAAAAAAGGACCAAAGAGGAAACATGCGGTATGTATATATGTACATGATATAGCACAGTGTGGTTCAGAAAAGCAGTGAATCAAGTAAACAATAATACAAACACAGAGACACTTTAATAGCATTTCATGTAACCATGGATGTGTTGCCCTTGTTTTAATAAGGGGCTATTTTTACTTAATGACTTAGTTTAATGCTGGATGGGTATAAAGAACAACCTAAATTTATTTTGAAGTCAGAAGAGTATTTGAAATCATTCATTTTGCTGCAGTTTAACTGGTCCCCCGTCTTCCTTATGATGTTTCTACACTTAGTTACAAATCATTTAAAAAACTGCCATGATGTAATATAGCTGGATAGGAATTATTATGAGGTCATAGACAACGTTTTTTAGACTTATATCCTGCAATAAGTAAGTTTCCAAAATGTGAAAGAAAGTCTATCAACTATATTCATTCTTGACCAAGATCTCCCAATACAGGACCAAACCAGTCATGACAGATTAAATTCACCAAATACACCTGGATGGCCTAATCCCCAAAGGTTCTTCTGATGAACACAGAAATCTAGCAGGAAACAGTGAGTTTACACATTGTGCATAAATATCCTCACCCCCAAAATCTAGTTCAAACTATAATAACTTCGGGGTACAGAACATCTGAAGAACTTATAAAAATAAAACAAAAAGCTGTCCACCTGCTAAGCAATCTGTATAATAAAAAAGGTTTAAGTTACAGGAAGGTTATCCAGTTAAACGAATATAAAATCAAATGGAAATGAACACTTCATACACAGAAAATATCTGCAATAAATACTGAACTCTATGGTAACAATCTCCTAATGGAGTATAATCTGGTGATTAATTCACATAAATCTCTCATGTATTAAATAGACACAGGGCTTTATAAACACATCAGGATTTTACTATACAGATATGCAAATTCAAAATAAGGACTTCCAGATAAAAATGACATTTATAATTGTACTTTCGGTGCCTCCTCAGATATCATTAAACCAGAGCAAAGGGCATTTTTTTAAAATTTGTAAAATCACGGTGATAAAGAGAACATAGAAGGAGAAATGCCAACAAAAATGTTTGAAGCTTAAGAGCAAATGGATGAGATGGAAGAAAAATTAATTTTAAAGTGGCAAAGGTGAGGAAGTACAGAACGGCCCCCACTGACCCAGTAACTAGAAGTACACAGAGGTACGGATGAGATTACAAAACTGCAGAACAGACCAAAAGTCTCTGTTGTTTAGGAGGCAGTTAAAATTCTCAGCTCCCTTCCTCTCTGCCCTCCAGATAGAGCCCCTCTACCCGCAGAAGACCGCAGGCCTCCCTGAACATGCAGTGAGAGGCGGGCGGGCCCCTGCACTGGGGACAGAAAGTGCAGATGACTGCGGCCGTGAGCTGAGGTGGGACAAGTAAACGCTTCACATGGAAGGCAGAGACTCCCCAGCACGCTTCTCTCTTATAACCCAGAGCAGTGCTGGCCCAGTCAGCTCTGCCCGAGCATGAAAATGGAAAATGTTGATGGGGAAATCTGAGAACAGACACCAACACGGAGAACTCGCAGCACAACGGCCCGGCCACAGCATCCTAAGCGCAAAGCGCGTCACTGTCAGCCTCTGCCGCACACCCGGCATCCAGAGAGCATCTTGCAGTCTACGATGTGGGGCCCGCGCCAAGACAGGCCAGGGTGAGATGTCACAACAGTGGGGACAAACACCTTACAAGCTACCAGAAATGGATGGAAAAACACACCTATAAAGAATGGCTTTGGACACGCAGTACACTGAGAGAGCAATCCCTTCCTGGCTGTGCACAACTACCCTTCTAGTATGGTGACCTTGAGCAGGTGACCCTCACCTCTCTGTGCCTCAGTTTACTTATGCATCAGTATGACAGGTATGACAGTAATACTGACCTCTCAGGTCAGTTATAGAGATTAAAGGACTTAATACCTATACACTTACAAAAAGTCCTGGGCACATGGTAAACATTCGATAAATGTCCACTATCATCTTACCACCACCACAGTTCAGGAAGGAGTTTTATTACAAACCTAATGAGTGAAGTGTGGGTTTCTTTTTTTTTTTTTGAGTGAAGTGGGTTTCTAAGGAAGGTATACACACCACCCCTGCACACCCTGGCATCAACGGACACGGTGCACTGACAAGCGAGGTCCACAAAAACAATCGTTGAGAACCATCCTTTTGAAGTATTAGGTAAAACAGGGGTGCCTGGCTGGTTCAGTCAGTGCAGCATTTCACTCTTGATCATAGGGCTGTGGGTTCAAGGCCCCACACTGAGTGTAGAGCTTACTTTAAAAAATGGGGAGCACCTGGGTGGCTGTTAGTTAAGTGTGTGACTCTTAGTTTCAGCTCAGCTCATGTTCTCACAGTTTATGGGTTTGGGCCCTGCGTCAGGCTCTGCACTGGTGGAGACTGCCTGGGATTCTCTCTCTGTCTCTGCCCCTCCCCAGCTCATGCTCTCTCTCTCAAAATAAATAAGCTTTAAATAAACGATAAAATACAAGATAATGTACAGAAACAAAACATCACTGAGCTGAGATCAAGCTGAAGATCTAAAAAAAAAACCCACCCCAGCTCTTGTGCTCAACTTCTGCTCAAGAGTGCAGCCCAAGTCCTGAAATCACATTCAGGCTTGCCATACTTTCTGTCAAACCTGTAATACTGAAATGACAAGATGAGACAAGAGGTGGGAAGACAGAGCAAAAGTCGGTGAGCTAAGGATTAAGATGACATCCTACTTCTGACACATTTTCCGGCAGCTAGGCACCACTAAGCAGAAAAGTAGCATTGTGCCACAGAATCCTCAACTCTCAGAGGGGAGGCAATTACCCCACTGTCCACAACCAAGCTCTGATGGTTTAAAAAAAAAAAAAAAACAAAGAAACAAAAGCTGATATCAAAGCAGGAGGAGAAGAACCATCTACTCTTGGCTATTCACTTTACCTTTTTCTACTCGGGCCGTCAAGCGCTCCAGAGGGCATGTCTATTCCACATGTGCGTTCCCAGTGTAAGGGGGAGCAAGATGGGACGCAGGGTGGGTGAGGTGACCGGAAGGATAGACAGGCTTGCAACCCATAGCCCGTAAACACCCGGATCCACATCCCATGACGATACCCTCTCCGGGTCATATGGCCCGTAAATGAGTGAGCTCAGCCACTCAGCTAGGAAGATAAAGCACCGTGTGGTCACAGTCAGCAAGATCAGCATGTCAGGTACCACTCTCGCAACAAGTACTATCATGACTGTCCTCAAGGGTCTTGATACAAAAGCACTAGGGTGCATGAGGGAAGTATGAGATTATCATGCACCAGCTCGCAATGAACTAATGAAATAAGAACTGGATATGGTTAGGGGGCTCCTGGGTGGCTCAGTCAGTTAAGCAGCTAACTTCATCTCGGGTCGTGATCTCACAGTTCATGAGTTCAAGCCCTGTATCAGCTCATTGCTCACAGCTCAGAGCCTGGAGCCTGCTTCAGAATCTGGGTCTCCTTCTCTCTCACTGTCCCTCCCCAGCTTGGGCTTGGGCTCTATCTCTCTCTGCATCTCAATAAATAAATTAAAACAGTAAAAAAAAAAAAAAAAAATTGGATACAGTTAGAAATGAGAGGGGAGGTAGCAGACTTATGCAGTAAGTGGGTCTGAGAAGTGTATGCCTCTTTGATGTTCAGAAAGCTAACAGATGGGGAAACTATGTGGCACATGAAATGAGTCCCTGCAAAAAGTTACTTATTAGAAGTGAGCGCTCACTAAGACCAAGTAAGAAATACATATTCAAATACATAGGATTGATAAAAACTCGGAAATTATTAAGAGAACATCGGACACAGTAGCCAGGCAATGGATACCTAAGATACGAAACCAGACATAGCCTTCCTAAGCAGTATGTGAATTTTGTTCTGAAAGTATTCAAGTCAAAGACTCCCAGTCATGGGGTATAATGGAGATTCTTGCCTTCAAACTCAGAAGGTCCTTCAATTTGACAAGGGACAGACGTTCTTTTCTAAATATGGCAAAATCCTATTTTGCATTTTTTTAAAACAATTTTTGCAAGGAAAGACGATAGGGGAGAGGCACTGGCATGAAAGCAGGCCGTAAAAAGTTAACTGGGAAAAAGGACAGAAGAACAGAAATACCAAAAATCAAGCAGATTAGAAAAGGCCAGCTAGTCCACCGGGGCAGCCACGCCAGGGCCTGCTCCCTCGGAACCTGGGGCAAACACTTAACAAAGTATCCATGATACACTACAGTCAGACTAACAACACAAGACGTAAGCTTCTGGGAGGCCCGGGTGGCTCGGCCAGCCGGCTCAGGGAACGATCTTGTGGTTCATGAATTCAAGTCCCGCGTCGGGCTCTGTGCTGCTTCAGATCCTATGTTTCCCTCTCTCTCTGCCCCTCCCCTGCTCACACTCGCTCTCAAAAATAAAACATTAAAAAAAAAAAAAAGAGAGAGAGAGGTACGCTTCTGGCTTACCATGTGGGCACAGAATGTCTTCATTAAAATTTAATTCCTCCTCCTCTTCTTTCCTTTCTTCTTTTGATTCATCTAATCAAAAGAAACAGATAATAATCATTCTAGCTGTTATATCTGAAGGTCAAAGAAGCAGTGCCACTGTGCACAATTATGAACAAAGAAAACTTAAAACATTCTAAAAATCAGACCCAAGCGATTCGTATATGGTTATGCTAGGAAGCGTTATGTTTCTTTCCCTTAAAAGGAAAGAAAAATATCTGAATGGCAGTTTTACTTTTTAAAGATTTAGATTATGCAAGAAAATGTTCTTTTTTTTCTAATTGGAAAATACTTTACATCTCCTTCCATTAATTCTAGTCAAGCTATTCAGAATACAGGATCTTAGACCAAGTTAATCATCTACATGTCATGTTATTTTCACCTACCTATTCTTTTAAGGGTTGAACAAAAAAAACCTAGAAAAGGCTAATGAGAAATAAGGACTTAACCTTTAACGTCAAAAAGAACTACGCTTTTCCTGTTAACATTTCTCTTCCAATATCTGCTTTTCCTATGTGTCTGCACTGTGTCGCCATGAATTTATACTTGTGTGCATACCAGGAACACAATCAAATAAAATAAGTCTTAAGCATAAGGAGATTAGAATAGCTATGTAGGGGCTTTAGTTTATGTTAAGTACACATTTTTAATACACTCAGGATTATACGTAAAGAATATTTACTAATCATTAAAAAGCTCAAGTGGAGGGGCACCTGCTTGGTTCAGCTGCTCAAGCATCTAGGTCCCAGGGTCGGGTGATCAAGCATGCAGCCTACGTGGGATTCTGTCTCCCTGTCTGCCCCCCTTCCCCAGTTGAGTACGTGTATGCGATTTCTCTCTCAAGTCAGTAACAAATGAAAAAGAAAGGACACTGACCAGGTAACTGTCACCTCACGCTGTCACATACACAAACACAATGAACTTCTCAAATAAATACCCATGGTTAATCTCAATGGTAATTTTGAAAGGCACAGCCTTGACACTGCTAGATCATTTTTCGTCTATCAGACTAGTTAAAAACTGATGGGAATGGTATACTCTATGCTGACAAAAGCACCGAAAACCAAGCCCCCAATATACTTTCTGGAGAAATTTGCCAATACGTGTCAGTACATGGCAGACATATGCGGGTATGCTGTGGTATAGTTTATGACGACCACCGACACAACAGTTTATAACATTACCTTTATTTAAGGTGTTGCCGTTCATCTTCCCGTTGCTTTGGTCAACGTCCCCATCTTGCTCATCTAACTGTTCGAGAGCCAGCTGGCGCCAGCTGCGCAAGGAAGACTTCCCCACCCAAAATCCGTCGCTGCTGTGGAACAAAGACCAGGTAACATCATGCAAGCAGTACTTCTGACGCCTCCAGCCCTTTCTTTACTTGCAAAGGCCACAACTAGAATGAATTACTAACATTCAAAATCTGTTGTTGTCCACACGATTTTTAGCCCACTCCTGCGTTCTGGCCATTTCTCCTCTTCACTACGGAATAGCACAGATTCCAGATTCTGGTTCCATCCCCAACCCTGCCTGGCTTCCTCAGTTACTTTCACGCCCAACACAACTCCGCTGGCTACTCTCTTTCACGTGACTAGTGTTCACAACTACAGAGAGCTGTGCCTTCAGGGACACCTGCAGGTGCTCACACACATCCACCTCTACATACAAACACACATTTGAGGACCGTTTACAGAATAATAAAAAAAATACTGAATAATCTTTATTTGGAAAACATACACCTTAAATTAAACCCAGACATAGTAAGGGCCATTCTAAATGCCACCTGACTTTGCTGGTTTCTGGGTGCAGGATACTCTGTGGAGTGGTGCTCAACATACTCCAAGTACCCTGGGTATCTGACAAGGGTGCTCCAAGGGGGACCATGTGTTAATTCACATCATGTTCTCTAAAGGGGGAGACCCCAGGCCTGCCAGGAGTCCTGATAATTCCACCCCCGAACACACACCAGCACACTGCTTGGTTTGGTCAGACGGCAGATCCACACCTCTGCTTCTACTTTTCTAACAGAGGGTGTACAGTCACAAAGGCCTTGTGACCCGGCTTTCTTCATCTTTGCCACGGCGGCAATCACTGCGAGATTTAATCTGGCCGTCAACCACTGCATCACTCTTTCTTTGAAAAATCCTAACTGCTGTTGTCTCTGAGAAGCCATTTCGTTATTACTTCTTACAGCTCTTTCAGTTTGTCATGAACACCACGCACTGTGTAACATACCCCTTCACTGTTGCTTTGAGCAGATTATTAACAGTTTTATAATCTTCATTTAGTTGATTCTTCAGACGTAACACACGACAGCGTTCTACCACACACTCCTTACACAGGGCTTTCACTAGAGGGAATGAAAGGAAATGGTTCACTCACAGACTAAGTTCCTGTTAGGTGTCAGTACTTCACAGAAGACAGATTTCTAAACCAAAGTCACATGTTTTGACAGCAGAGCAAATTAGTATATATCCTACATGACTTAGGTGATAGAGTTTTCAAAACATCAATATTGTTCTATACATAAAGAACAATGAGAGATGAAATGTTATCTTACGCTACAACTACCTAAGCCATCTACTACTTTCAAGACTTGGAGCATATTTTACAAGACTGTAGTTAAATAATGGGGGCTCTAAGGCTGGGGGGCGCAGAGGAGCGTCAATATATCTGACAACTATAAATGTAATGTTAAATGACAGCTTCATGGGGGTATGAAATATTGGAACACTTCAAAGCACAGAACACTAAAGGAAAAAGCACCACCAAGGCCCCAAACTCACAGCTGTAGGAATCGTATGAAATGTGATTTCTTTTTTTTGTTTTGTTTTTAGTTTATTTACTTTGAAGGGGGTGGAGAGGGGCAGAGAGAGAGAGAGAGAGAGAGAGAGACCCAAGCAAGCCCTGCACTGTCAGTGCAGAGCCCAAAGTGGGGTTCAAGTGAGCCACCCAGAGACACCTGAACTGTGATTCTCTGGAAGATCTAATCACTGCTTAGTTCACCGATCGTGAAACAAAAAACTGGGAAAGCAAAACTCCAGATGTGTACAAGAGGTCTGAATCTTGCAGTTAAATGTGTTTTTATGCAGTAAGTTGTACACAATCAGAAAACAGCATTTAATTTTGGAGAAAGGGGGAGGGTGGTCACACAATTTTGGCCTTGTGTTGCCAGTTTCTCTTTAGAAAGGAAAGTGTTTTGAGGAGAGATGGATCAGAAGCAAACAGACTATGGATACTATGTGGTTATACATCCAAGGTAGCATCAAACAGCTTCTATTCATCAGCTAAGTGAACAATTTACAAAAGTCAAAGTAGAAGTTGTGCAAACCACCAGACCAAGGTTCAAGTACTTTTAAGAGTACTGTACAAACTGATACAATACTATCACATGGTTTCTTCAAAAGGGAAATTCTGTCTTTGAGTGGGCAAAATCCACCATCAAAACTCAAAGAAAAGTGTCAGGTTCTTTTCTAGCATTATAAATATGTGAGGTCTAGGAGCACCTGAGTGGCTCCGTTGGTTAAGTGTCCAACTCTTGGTTTTGGCTCAAGTCATGATCTCACGGTTTGTGAGTTCGAGCCCTTTGTCAGGCTCTGTGCTGCCAGCAGGAAGCCTACTTGAGATTCTCTCTCTCTGCCCCTCCCCTGTTTGTGCACTTGGTCTCTCTCCAACATAAATAAACCATAAAAATAAAATAAACTTATGAGGTCTAATGCTGTGTAACTTCTCTGATTAGGAAACCCTTTCTGCAAAGTATAAGGAACATCCAGTCTGGCTGTCACAGTTTGGGTCAGATGATTAGAGACCACAGATGAGGACTTAATGGACTACTTTTTCGGCAGAGAAAACACCTCGAATTACCAGTTAGTCTTGGTCCTCCTCCATATCTACTATAGAAGATGTCAGCCGCATATTCAGATATTCTTTTCATAATTGATATCTTATCAGGATGAAGCTTGTCATGGGAACACAGGCAAGCGTGATTATCGATAGGCTTGGTGGGTGTCGATTCATCCAACCATTTCTGTAGCCACTCGAGAGAGACAAATTCATAGGGCTCTGAGGAAGAAAGCAAAAGAAAGCATCTATGTATTTTTACAGCTTTTTAACTAAGGGATATTCATTTTCCTCAAAATACAATACAAACTCTGTCCAAAGTTAGCAGAATCAGAAGAATCATTATTCAGGGAAAATGCTTTGAGGAGTAGGACGTAAAACTCCATTTAACTAACCCTCTTCTAGGTCAAGGAGCTGTGCACAATAGGAGATTGCACGGTTCCCTATGAGAGAGGCTGGTATTATTAACCACATTCTACAAAAGAGGCATCCACAGAGAGAAGTGTCTTGCTTGATAGCACAGCAGAGCTCTGACAGGACACCCATGATTGTTGCCTATAAGCCGCGCTCCGCACATCGGCTTGTAAATCGTATAACCTCATTCCCTACCATGTTCATTTCATAAATGATTGTCATAAACACTTTTCACAAATATGTGAAATACATCTGGAAATGAAAATAAAAAGGCTGAGTTCGAAGTTAGAAAATAACCTCAAAAAAAATTTTTTTTTTAACAAGTTAACCTCATCAGCTGTAACCACACTTTTATAAGCCAGTTTTTACCACTGAACTTTTTTCTTCATCCAAGGATACTGGTGTCAATTAAAACATATTTGATTTGCCCACCCAATCCATATCAGGAGCTATTTGTTATATAATGTATATCAAGAAAGTAAGCTATTTTCTACAAATTTCAGTATGAATTACTAGATTTGAATTGATATCAACTCTGATGTTGCAAAAATTTAGACAAAACCAAACCACCTCAAAAGGAGTTTTCATTTGGGAAAACAGAGTCCCAGAGTTCCCTAAGAGTCAAAATTAAAGACAAAGGGCCAGCTTTGATTACTTACAAAGATCTCCAGTGAGTCCCAGCATAAAACATAGAAGAAAACATACAGAGATTGAATTTACGTAATTGTATTATGTACTACTTCTGATGAGATCTGAGGGATAGACAATTCAATGCAAAGCCCGTTTTGACCAACTGTGTACTTCTCTTAGAGTTAGTGACAAGTCTAGAAAACTACTTTCCATTTTAAGTTCAGTGTGAAAACACTTCCATTTTTACAAAAACAAAATTCAGCATGATCACTCCCGTATTTGTTCTAAGACTATACACATCGTCAACTGAGAGCCTTCTGAGGGATCGGTCAGCCCTAATGCAGCTGCAGAGAAAGAGCTCATGACTGCCAAGTTGAGACCAAGGTCTAATCCAAGTTCTGCCACCAAGAAACTGAACTTGAGCAAGTCACTTAAACTCTCTATGCTTCAGGTCTTTTATTTGTAAAATGAAGGTAATAATACCTGCCTTCTACCTACCTCACAGGGATGTTGTTGAATGTAAAAGATAAGATATGTGAAGCATTTTGAGCTTTTTGGAAGAAAAGAGATATAGAAAAGTTAATCATACATTCACACAATATATAAAGAGGAGACCGTAAGATTCAGTATAGGTAACATGACTGTGGCACTCTACAATATATAATGGTAACGGCTAATTAAATTCAAAATACCTCCAATTTTATTTGGCATCTATCGAATTTAATCTGCCAGGGACAGAGTACGCCGGTTATCTTAAGAATGCAAAGACAAATGATCTCTGTCCAAGAAAGCAAAATGAAAGTCTTAGCATATCTAATCTTTTCTCAAATACAATCACATAGCTTAAAATTTTTATTAATATGAAGGCCATCAAAGGAGGGGAAACTGAACTGTGTGACACAGAGTAATATTCAACAACTATTCACCAGGTGTTCTCATTTCCCCAGTGCTGGGGAGGGAAGAGCAGACAATACCCACTATTGCTAACGGGAAACAGAAGCCGTAAGGATCCTGACTCTCACAAGAAAAGGAGTCCAGGAAGTACACAAAGCACTTCATGCTGAGGGCCGTCTGCTGGAATTGAAAGCCCAGGGTGGCTGTAACCCGGACCCATGATAACATTGTGGCTCACAGGCGGTCTGTGTGAGACTGTTTTCCTATCCCCTACTAGAACCCACCGGAAAACTTCCAAGTGAAGGTTATCGTTTTGGTTTTGAGCAGTTACAAATGAATTAAAACTAAGACATGAAGATCAGAAAAATCACATCTGATTTTACAGTAAGAGGAGGAAGGAAGAGAGCAGAGAGCGGCTCTGGGTTCTGATGGGATTCCCTTATTAATTGTACTGCTCTTCTAGACTCAGGGTGCGAGTTTTAGCGTGCTGTAGGAGCCATGGAGTGAAGAGGGACTGAGGTTCTCACAGCGCAGTCTCTTTCCATTGTCAATCTCCATTACTATAAGGAGTTGTATTAATCTCTGCCAAGAGTGTCCCAGAGAATCAGGGACGAGTTCACATCTCAAGAGTTAAGGCAGATCTGCTTCTGGGAAGTTTTTAAACCACTGACGTTTCTGTCCTAGAGAAAGACTCAAGGCAGGTCCTCCCTGATTTGTGGCCCAGCAGCCACCACAGGACTGTCTCCCCAAGGCATGCGTAATCAACCACCAGGGAGGGACACACAGTCTCATCAGTGAGGGGGAAATACTGAACCGTATGGTGTATCACCACTTCAGAGAACAGGAAAGCTTGTTACAGTATTACCCAAAGGGAAACGCACATTTTGGTTAAAGTTATGGGAATTATAAAAGTCTACAAAGACTGTGGCATCAAAAATATTTGCAACACTTCACCTAGAGATGATTTACCATTATTTAGAGATAGTTTATTTAAATTTCACAAAAAAGGGCCAAAGTGTTTGTGATCCTAATGAGACACATATTTTAGAAAGAGAGACTCTCAAAAAAAAAAAAAAAAAAAAAAAAAAAAAAAAAAAAAGACTCTCCTTTTATATAAATGTTCACAAAGACGGGTATGAGTTAGAAAACACCTCGCAAGAACTTGGATTGGCAGCACAAACCACGGTCATCTGTTTTTGGACTTTTCAACACTTAACACGACACAGATTTTCTACTCTGTATGTTTACTGCAAATGGGAGGGGAAAAGCTCCTAACTGGTAAAAGTATTAGTAACACCGAGATATTCTAAGAACACAAGAACAGTTTCTTCTAGGCTGAGAGCAGCGAGGCGATGCACAAGTATGTGCTAACCAGACACATCACACCTTTGGACAATGTCGTTTTTCAGAGAGTGGTTCAAAACTGCATTTTACGTTAGATGCAGTTAAGTCCCTTTCTCTTGTCCAGGGAATGCAGGAAACTAGGAAAACAGTTCAAAAAACAGATTTCTAGGTCTCAACTCTTTGCATAAATTTAGGGATCTGAATCATATTCATGTCCAAACCACTTCCAGTAATATTAAGGTCAGTCTCATTCTTTAGAGTAATCCCAACCCTTGGGACAGAGACAAATGCATTATTTAAAAAAAAAAAAAAANGACTGTGGCATCAAAAATATTTGCAACACTTCACCTAGAGATGATTTACCATTATTTAGAGATAGTTTATTTAAATTTCACAAAAAAGGGCCAAAGAAAAAAAAAAAAAAAAAAAAAAAAAAAAAAAAAAAAAAAAAAAAAAAAAAAAAAAAAAAAAAAAAAAAAAAAAAAGAAAGAGAGACTCTCCTTTTATATAAATGTTCACAAAGACGGGTATGAGTTAGAAAACACCTCGCAAGAACTTGGATTGGCAGCACAAACCACGGTCATCTGTTTTTGGACTTTTCAACACTTAACACGACACAGATTTTCTACTCTGTATGTTTACTGCAAATGGGAGGGGAAAAGCTCCTAACTGGTAAAAGTATTAGTAACACCGAGATATTCTAAGAACACAAGAACAGTTTCTTCTAGGCTGAGAGCAGCGAGGCGATGCACAAGTATGTGCTAACCAGACACATCACACCTTTGGACAATGTCGTTTTTCAGAGAGTGGTTCAAAACTGCATTTTACGTTAGATGCAGTTAAGTCCCTTTCTCTTGTCCAGGGAATGCAGGAAACTAGGAAAACAGTTCAAAAAACAGATTTCTAGGTCTCAACTCTTTGCATAAATTTAGGGATCTGAATCATATTCATGTCCAAACCACTTCCAGTAATATTAAGGTCAGTCTCATTCTTTAGAGTAATCCCAACCCTTGGGACAGAGACAAATGCATTATTTAAAAAAAAAAAAAAAAGGTCAGAATCATATTAAAATTGGTTTAGAAAGAACTCTTCAGAGTTACTCTTACAGGGTTAGCAATTTATATTCATCTTTTGTTTAAAATTATACCAGTAATGGAAAAATAAGATGTCAAAAACACAAAACCACAAGTACAATTATACTTGAGTATTTATTTTCAGAAATCAGAATTAAATTTCCTCTCTTCTTTACGTAGGAATTGGACATGGGGAAGTCCGTCTATGAAACGACAAAGACACATCACTACCAATGGCACTGCAGCCTTAAAAAGTTGGGATTTTCTTTCTAAGGCACTAGGTAAACTTGAATAAACATACACGGTAAAGGAATGAGCTGGGTTATATGTGGGATAATTCTTAAGAAATTAGGGGTCAGCAGAAAGCTCTCCTATTCTTAGCGTATTATTTGATATTAAACTTCAAATCAGTGTAATAGTATCATAAAAAATAGTACAGAGAAAAGACTGCCTGTGAAGACTGTCAGGGCAGTGAGTTGCTTCCATAACCCAATCAGATTTTTATTTAAGAACAAATTAATATCTCACAAAATAGAAATACCTGTAAGACTCATACATATGCAGAATGCTGACCTAAACCTTATAATTTGTTAAGAGCTTCCCATTCTGAAAAGTACTTGATAGTGAAAACTACATGGAATGCTATGCACCAAATTATTGCTGGTTTACATAGTAATTTTATAGTGCTTAAGCTGGTGGTAGTGGGTTATGGGAAAGGGTAGGGGAAAGTCTGCTCAAATACATGTGTGAACACGAAAGAAACAAGGCACAAAATGGCAGCAGTGCTGTCCCAGAATATCTTACAGACCAGCTCCAGCAGGTAACCTTTGGTACAGCTCCTTAACCTCTTCGTGTTTTGCTTTTCCTTTATCCACACTTTGCTTACGCATCTCAGCCATTTCAATACACCACTCCTCAAACTTGGAATTATCCCGATCTACCAGCTCTTGAAGAAAGGCTATTTGAAACAGAAAGACAAAAACTAATGTTTTCACGTTTTCAAAGACACAGAACCATGCCAATCTCTAAATTGTATCCAAATACTGGTTAGGATTCTAGTGGCAACTTCCTACTGCGGTCTAACTTTCTGTAAGAAATCTATAACCTGAAGACAAAAGTAAAACTGGAAACAGTCACTAGAATGATACTAGGTAATTCCCAATCTGCTTCTCTATGACTTTTCCAGACAACTGGAGCCATCAAATGGCTCACAAATACTGCTTCAAAACAGATGATGCCACAGACCACAGTCTAGTAGTAGGTAAGATAACAATTTAAGACTGCCCTGAGGCCTATAGCAACTCTTCCCCACCCCACCCCCCCCTTTTTAATTAAGTAAGCTCTAAGACCATGCCCATGGTGTGGCTTCAACTCATGACCCTGAGATCAAGAGTTGCATACTTTACCAAGTGAGCCAGCCTGGCACCTTGCTAAGTAGGTAAAACCTACTTGTATGCTTTACAAATTAAGCCAAATGTCTCCTTAAATACAGGTTTTCCTTACCTATAGAATTTTTTTTAATTGTTTTTGGTTTTCTTGGGGAAGGGCGGGGTCATTGGAATAGTTCTGTTAAAAGCTCTAAGCTCCTTTATTCTTTGGGTGCTTGGGTAGCTCAGTTAAGCCTCTGAGTCTTGATTTCATCTCAGGTCACAACCTCGGGGTTCCTGAGATTGAGCCCCATGTTGGGCCTGGGATTTTCTCTCTCTCTCTCTCTCTCTCCCCTGCCCGCCCTTCTCTGTCTGGCTCTCCTCCACTCGTGTGCACTCACTCTCATTCTTGCTCTCTCAAAATAAACATTTTTTTTAATGGTGCCTTTATTTTTAAAAACTCACTACTTTATTTTTTTAAGACTTTACTATGGGGGCAGCTTGGTGGCTCAGTCGGTTAAGCGTCTGACTTTGGCTCAGGTCATGATCTCACAGTTTGTGGGTTCGAGGCCCGCGTCAGGCTCTGTATTGACAGCTCAGAGCGTGGAGCCTGCTTCAGATTCAGTGTCTCCCTCTCTCTGACCCTCTCCTGCTCAGGCTGTCTCTCTCTCTCTCTCTCTCTCTCTCAGAAATAAATAAAAAACATTAAAAAAATTTTTTTAATTAAAAAAATAAGATTTTATTATAGATCTGAAGTGGGCTCTGTGCTGACAGCAGAAGCTCAACCTGGGGCTTGACCCACGAGATCATGACCTGAACCAAAGTCAGATATTGAACCGACTGAGCCACGCGGGTGCCCTGAGATTTTATTACTTTTAAATAATCTCTACACCTCATATGGGGCTCAAACCCACCACCCATGAGATCAAGAGTCACACACTCCACCAAATGAGCCAGACAGGCACCCCAAAAATTCACTACTTTAATGCAAATTTGGGATATTTACTTTCACTGACATTTACTATCTGTAATCAACCTCTCTTATTAAATTAAAGCAGGAAGTTCTTTTTTTTTTTTTTAAATGTTTTATTTATTTCTAGGAGACAGAGAGAGAGAGAGCGTGAGCAGGGGAGGGTCAGAGAGAGAGGGAGTCACAGACTGAAACAGGCTCCAGGCTCTGAGCTGGCAGTCAGCACAGAGCCTGACGCGGGGCTTGAACCCACGAACCGCGAGATCATGGCCTAAGTGAAAGTTGGACGCTTAACCGACTAAGCCACCCAGGCTCCCCAGTAAGTTCTTTTTACTTTTGTAATTATCTGTAAATGTTTTATTTATTCTAGAGAGAGAGTGTGAGCAGGGGAGGGACATAGAGGGAGGGGAACAGAAGATTCGAAGAGGGCTCTGTGCGGAGAGAGCGAGCTTGACGTGGGGCTTGAGCTCACAAACTGTGAGATCATGACCCGAGTCGAAGTCAGACACTCAAACGACCTTGTCACCGACCTGTGAGCACAGTATTCTAACATATTTGCCTTACGTGACTCTGGAAAACTGCTTACCTGGTACCTGAACAATTGTGTTGGGTTTCTCTTGAGTTTGTAGTCTATACACCAACATGTACGCATTTCGAGAGCAGTGAGTTCCTTTGCCACACTTGGGTTTACGTGTCTGGGACTTAGAAGGTTCTGCTGAGGTCGAGAAATAAAAGATAACTAAATTAGAATGCTTCTAGTATATTCATTCTTTTGCAGCGGGGGGAAGAGGGAGGACCATAGAAAACAAATTTCTATAATACACATTCAAGATACTTTAGCAGGGATCTGAAACATTTCAAGGCAACACAAATTCAGCACGCTCTTTAGATGCCTGAATATTAAACAGGCTTACTACCCTAAACCCCTTTGCCCGCCATATTCCATTTTTAAAAGATAAGAAAGCACTACTTTTCACAAAGAAAAACCTGGAACCAAATAAAAGGTACTACTGCTATGAGTTTATTTTAACACTAATTTTAAATTATAAAATGAACCCAGGGGCGCCTAGGTAGCTCACTCGGTAAAGGGTCCGACTCTTGATTTCAGCTTAGGTCATGATCATGCAGTTAGTGAGATCAACAGTGCAGAGCCTGCTTGGGACTCTCTCTCCCTCTCTCTCAGAATAAACAAACTTAAAAAGACTAAAAAAAAAAAAAATAGGGGCGCCTGGGGGGCCTCAGTTGGTTGGGTATTCAACTTCAGCTCAGGTCATGATCTCAGGGTTTGGGAGTTTGAGTCCCGTGTTGGGCTTGCTGCTGTTGGTGTGGAGACTGCTTTGGATCCTCTGTACACCCCCCCTCTCTGCCCTTCCTCCACTCATGCACTCACTCTCTCTCAAAAATGGGTATTTTTTTTAAAGGATTAAAAAATGAATATGATAAATCCAGATTATGACAGAGAAAACACCAGTGGTTCCCAGAGTGGAGGAGGGCGGGCAAACGGGTGAAACAGGTGATGGGGATTAGGAAGTACACTGGCAGATGAGCGCTGAATGATGTATGGAATTGTTGAATCACTACATGTTAGCTGGAATTAAAATAAAAATTCAACAAAAAATTGTTTAAAAAATATATATAGATTCACCTGCCCAAAGAAATAAAATAGCCATGTTCAAAAAAGTAAATTGCTAATGAGCACAAAGATCAGCCACTAATCTCTACTACGAATTCAGTAGCATGGCAGTCATTCATGAGTATTCTGCATGGCAAGTGGATGACATGAAAGTGATGTGCAAACTGGTGCTCAGGACCCAGGGGTAACCTTCCGGCCGTATGAGATCGTGCTTACTTCTTAGGAAATCAAAGACCAGATCTCCACTTCACTATGTACTTTTGTAAAATCAAGCTACCTCAAAGCTGAGGTTTCACTGACGGTTTCCTCCTCTCCTTTCTCAGTCATCCCTCTCCCACTTTACAAAGGAAAGACATAACCCCACCCAGGGGTTTAAAGAAAATTCTCTGCCATGTCATTAAAATATGTGTTTATAACAAAATTTTGCTTTTTATTTGATTCAGGAGTTTTGTATAACATACTCTTATTGGATTGATCAATAATGTGGTATTTATAATTAAAAAAAAAAAAAGGCTCGATCTTGAGTCAAGGGGAGGTGGGAGACAGAAGGAAAGAGGGAGGAGGATATTGGGGAATAAAGAGAAAAACAACTGAAAAAGTTCAATCTAAAAGAACTTTTACTATTTAGAGCTTTATGGTTAAAGAAATCTTAAGTTTATTCCATCAGAATAAAATTCTGCAGGGTCAGTTACAATGGAAATACTAGTATCAGAGAAAGGGGGAGGGTTAAAATTATCCTCCTAGGGGTGCCTGGGTGGCTCAGTCGGTTAAGCGTCTGACTTCGGCTCAGGTCATGATCTCCCGGTTCATGGGTTCGAGCCCCGTATCAGGCTCTGTGCTGACAGCTAGCTCAGAGCCTGGAGCCTGCTTCAGATTCTGTGTCTCCCTCTCTCTCTGACCCTCACCTGCTCATGCTGTCATCTCTCAAAAATAAATAAATGTTAAAAAAAATTTTTTTTTAAAAATCCTCCTATAAGCAAAACCAATTCATGTGTCTCTGAGATAGTGGGTATTGACTCTGTTAATTAATTTCATTTGGATGCTCTTAAAAGTGATGTTCCAGCTTCACTAGGACAGCAATCACATTATTTGGAGTCACTTAAAATTACGATAAAAATGTCAGATTTTAAGGCGTGCAAGGAACACAAATTGGGTCAATATTCTTATAGAGAATACAGGAACAAAAACTTTGGAAGCCACCATTACAGTGAATTAAAAATGTCTGGAACATATATATAGTGAAGAGATGGTTGGGCATTTCTAACCCGAAGGTATTACAATTTAACATGTTCGATTCTTTGGATGGAATACAAAACAATTCAAAAGAGTTCATAATAGAATATAGGAGAAAATGACTCATCGAATGTAATGAACAAGGATTTTCTGTTTTTGATGAAAAGAAAACAACAGATGAAAGCTGTAATGTACGTTGCATATAGCAGCGGGGAGTATTAAAACACTGGAACAGGGCGTCTCAGTGGCTCAGGTTAAGCATCTGACTTCAGCTCAGGTCATGATCTCACAGTTGTTGGGGTTGGGCTCTATGCTGAGAGCTCAGAGCCTGGAGCCTGCTCTGGATTCTGTGTCTCCCTCTCTCTCTCTCTGCCCCTCCCCTGCTCATGCTCTCTCTCTCTCTCAAAAACAAACATTAAAAACAACCAACAACTAAAACATTGGAATGGAATCCTGATAGGTGTGGAGTCCCTTTCTCTTGAACTCTTCTAAAATTTAGGGCTACCTTTAAGTAGCAGATGAGGACAGCCTTATCAATGCTTTTAATCCTACAATTCTCGGACTAAAAATGAAGATAAATCAAATAAACCTCAGAAAAAGAACAGTCAAATAAAACCAAGATATAATTATTCACAATTTAAAGCTACATCTCACTTTTGTTCCCAGAAAGAGTCTCACAATAAGAAAAATTACCGGCAAATGTTAAGACCTTGCCGGTAGTAAGTGTTACTAAGATAGGACAGGAGTAACGCTGCTGAATATCTATAAACACCTAATTGTTCTTTAAAAATAGAAAATCTCTCTCCGAATTATAATATGGCTGCCACTTAAATACCTGCAGAAAGATTTACCCATGTGTGCCGCGAAAGCTACCTCCAATGGTCACGCTCCTCCCTGCCATCTTGGGAAAGTGGTTCTGATCCATGAAGAACCATGGAGGAGAGACCCGACCCCCCCATTCCCATTCCTTCTTTCTTATTTAGACCCCAGAGTCCAAACCTCATCCAAGAGTGGCGAAAAGGTCAGCCAAGATGGCCACTACCGGGAAAACGGCGCACTTCATTAGGGAAGGCGCAGGTATTCTGGCCCAAGAAAATGCACAGGATCACAGCTCCACAGTACCAATGCTACCGGCAGACCTCATCACTGCAAGATCACAAGCAGCTTACTCCCCACAGGCAATGTGCCACACTCAGGGGAAGGTAGATACTTAACAGGGAGGAGCAGGCACTGTTCTCAGAGCCAAGGTCCCCTGCTAGAGTTATTTCTCCAAAGTATATCTCCCAACACAAAGAAAAGGACTACAAATCCTACTGCATTAAACTATTACTCATCATTTTAAGCTTACTAATCATTACACTCTCCCCATCCCACCCTGCCTCTTGCCCGCAATTAAACTGATAAAATATTTTGTCTTCAAACTGTACTGAAAACATTATGGAAACCACCTCTAGAGGATTTTTTTTTTTTTAATTCAGGCATTGCTAACAAAAGATGTTCAGAGATTTTACGTGTGTTTAAGAAATGCAAATATCCTTAATAACCCATACGAATCTTGGGCCATAAAAATTTATCAAAATATTTCCAGTAAAAAAAAAATTTATATTTTAAAAGGGCACTCACAACTTAAAGGTTTTACCTAGATCTTCCTCAATCCCTAGTTGTAATTTCTTCCCCTCCATCTTTTCTATGTCTTCGTCATTAAATTTATACCATTCACCGGACTGTGGATCTTTCACATGGGCAATGTAGTGGCCAGAATAAGCACTCACTCCTCTGTGTATAAGGACTGCACTCAGTTCATACACATAGGACCCACCTGGAAAGAGAAAGGGAGAAAGTAAAAGACATTTTGGAGAACAACATCTCTTCTTATATCCTGAGTCTTAGCTGTAATGATTCAAGTTGTTTTCATTGCTGACAGAATTCAAAACATGTCACTTAAGATTTACAAAAAAAGTTAGTTTTACAAAGTAACGTAGTAGATGCTGTCACTGTATTAACTCCATTTCCCCTGCAAAATATACAGATGCACTGTGGGCACCCAGGTCGGGGGTACAAAGCTATTCTGTAGTATACTTGGCTATTCTGCATGAACTGGCTCAGCTATATACTTACCAAGAATCACGTAATCATATTCTTGTCACAAAATTACTAATACCAGCTAATGAGCTGGGAGTGTGAAATTAACAAATGTGTCATTAACACCTTTCTCTAACGTTAAACCTCCTAAAACTTATTGTAGTGGCACCTGGGTATCTCAGTTGGGAAAGCGTTTGTGACTCCTGATTTCAGCTCAGGTCACCTCAGGGTTTCATGAGTTCTGCGCGGAGCCTGCTTAGGATTCTCCCTCTGCCCCTCCCTCTGCTCATGCTCTGTCTCTCTCAAAATAAACATTTTCTTAAAAATCAGATATGATAAAGAACCAAACTGAACTTCTAGAAATGAAAATATAGTAACTGAAAGTCAAAACTCTACAGAAAGGTACAACGGTAGATTAGGTTCACCTGAACAGAGAATCAATAAAGTAGAAGGTGGGGCTAAAGAAATTTTGGAACGCAGAAGAATGTGGATGAGACAACATTTTAAGAAATAGTGGTCGAGGAACTGTTTAACACCTTCTGCAGGGAGGATAAAGGCACTTGGAATCCAGCCCAACGAGTCACAGGGACACTGCAAAACCCACAAAACCAAACAAAACTCTTAACATAAGACCCAACAGGTCCCAAGTCCTCACCAGCAACAGAAGCGCGGCACCAAGAGGGCTCTTGTACCGCAGGGACATAACAGCCCACATTCAGAAAAACAAATTTCACAAGAACAAGACACAGATGATTTTCAGACAATGATATGCGAAAATAACTTGCCACCAACAGACCCTTTCGAACAGAATTTTATAAGCTCTAACTCAATATTAAAAAAACGAAACGACTGCAGATGGAAGGTCTAGAACGCAGAAGGGAAACCAAAGAGGCTGGAAAACAAAACACCAACAGTCCTACACACAGTAAGGTGCCTTTGTTTTAAAAGGCAGAACTAAAATACATACGAAAGATAGGAACCCCTGGGAGGCTCAGGTGGTTAAGGGTCTGACTCTGGATTTCAGCTCAGGTCATGGTCTCACACTTCGTGAGTTGACCCTGCATCGGGTTCCACGCTAACAGAGTGGAGCCTGCTTGGGATTCTCTCTCCCGCTCTCTCTGTCCCTCCCCCGTTCATACCTGCTTTCTCCCTCTCTCTTAAAATAAATAAACTTAAAAAAAAAAATTATTAAAAAAAACCCACATACACAAAGTAAGCAATTTAGGTAGGAGAGGATCGACTTCTTAGTGGTCTAAGGTCCTTGTACTGATTTTTTAAAGTTTTTATTCAAGTAATCTCTATACCCAGGGACCTCAAATTCATGATCCTGAGATCAAGAGTCATATTCTTCCAACTGAGCCAGCCGGGCACCCCAAGGTACTTGTACTGATTATAGAGGTAAAGTCATTAAGTCCAGAGTTAAGTGTGCATGTTATAATTTGTTTTAATTGATGAAAGTACAAAATAGTGATGTCAGACAGCTCAGGCTGTATCCACCTGGTGCGCTGGTCCACACTTCACATTTTAGGGCTTACCTGGACTCACCCACCTACTGTTCTTTCTACCACACTGCCCTCTCCCATAACCACATGGTAAAGATGAGGCAGAAAAAGCCTCTTGTCTCCCCAACCTGGGGAAATCATAAAGAACACCCATTAGCCCTGAGCAGAGCAACAGAAAAAACAATACGGTGGGGGGGATGTCATGGTGTTAGTCTGACCTTCACATCAGGTTCTTACAGCTTGGGTGAGCAAGGGGACCTCAGCGTTGAACTTGGCTTGTGCTGGTACGTAACTCGCAGGGATCCCAGATGCCTGGCAGGACTAAGTAAGGTCTCACCGGAGGAGGTGGCATGATGCCAGCCCTAAAGAAGCCCCACATATTTTCCATGTGCAATAACCGGCATGAGTCACAGATAACCAAGTTCAAAAGAAACATGACAAAAACAAAAGAACCCACCCAGGCCCCAAAAATAAGCCTGTACAACATTCTAACAGTCGTGGATTATAAAAGTAGGCTTTCCAGGTTTCAAGAAATGAGAAGCTTTAAAACATAATCAATTAGGGGCGCCTGGGTGGCTTAGTCGGTTAAGCGTCCGACTTTCGCTTAGGTCATGATCTCGCGGTTCGTGGGTTCGAGCCCCGCGTCGGGCTCTGTGCTGACTGCCAGCTCAGAGCCTGGAGCCTGGTTCAGAGTCTGTGACTCCCCCTCTCTCTGACCCTCCCCTGCTCACGCTGTCTCTCTCTCTCTCCTAGAAATAAATAAAACATTTAAAAAAAAAAATTTAAAACATAATTAGCAGGGAACCATAATAAGTGATGCAGATTTGAACCAGAGGAAACATCAGTACTTAAGATAAGGGTGAGTGGACTAACTGATGCAGTTTAAAAGATTCAGACTGGGATTCAAATTTTGGTATAAACATGCAATTCCCCAAATTAAAAGGGGGTTGAGAGGCAGACAGACACACACCTGTGACGGTGTTTTTCTAGAGCCACCTTCAACCACAGCCTAGATAAAGGAGCCTCGGAGGCAGACAGTGCAAGATTTCATCATGGGCTAGGTTTTGCTTGGCAACGTCCCAGGAGGAAAAAGGGAAATAAAGTTCAATGTTGAGGAATGCAAACTTACACTGTGAAACACTAAACCAAAATAAAAATAAAACATAGGGATGTTTGAGGTGCTCAGTCAGTTAAGCATCTGTCTCTTGATCTGGGCACAGGTCATAAGCTCACAGTTCGTGAGATCGAGCCCGGTGTCAGGCCAGAACTCGCTTGGAATTCTCTCTCCCGTGCATGCACACACACACTCTCTCTCTCTCTCCAAATAAATAAACATTTAAAAAATTAAACATAAAAAAATAAAGGAAGAGCCATAAAAGCCAGACCAGTGCCTATGATTTGAGGGGAGAGAAGGGGCTGTTACTGGGAGAGCTACAAAAGACCCTGAAGTCTTGGCAAACTTTGTTTTCTGGCCTGGACGCTGCTCATGCAGAGGCTCACGCTGCAAGAAGTCTCCAAGCCAAACGTGTACTTCGGACTTTTATGAATGTACTTTATTATAAAAAGGTAGGAAAATCAATAGAGCGACGTGTATGGTGCACACAACAGCAGGACAAAGGAGGGTATACCCCTCCGGACAGCTGAGGGAGAGAAGTGGGAGAGATCACGAAATTAAATCAGCATGATAAACCATACAAGTAGAAGCTGTAACTATGACTGCACGACCAAGACACAACACAAAAATGTCCATATCACGGTACCAATGTCAGCGTGAATTTATACTTATCAATTCACTGCTCTCAACAGCTTCAGAATTCTGGTAGTTGTGGAATCTGTTCTTTAATGGGCACCTATATTACTGGATCTCACGTTTGTGTTTTGCTAACTGTACTAATTTATTTAAAATGTTTATTTTTGGGAGAGTATGAGCCGGGGAGAGGCAGAGAGTGGGGGACAGAGGATCTGAAGCAAGCTCCGCGCTGACAGCAGAGAGTCCAGAGTACGGCTCAAACTCATGAACCGTGAGACCATGACCTGAGCGAAGACTGGTCATTCAACAGACTGAGCTCACCAGGTGCCTGGCTAACTGTATTTAAATACAACTGGTTTCTTCTGAAATTCTATAAATTTTATTCAGCACTCAGACTCTCAAAGCGGTCTACAGGTATGTTAAAACCTCCAAGAAATATGGCAAAAGTTCAGTTAGAGAATCAGACGCTAAAGGTTCAAAGAATGAAGACCCCTTGGCTCACAGGTCTCTGTAGATCTGCGGGCTCACTATTTAAAGAAACAAGTGAATTCTTCTCTATAAAAGACTATCTTTTAGATCTTTGTTTGCAGCTTTACGTGGATATGTATGTATAGATACATATAAATAATACAGGAAAATAAATACTGGTGATCTGGTCATAGAATTACAGGTAGTTTTTATTCTTTATGCCTTCTAAATTTTCCAAATTATCAAGAATGAACCCAACCCTGTACATTCTTAACAAAAATTAATGTTTTTAGTGTTTAGAAGGTTGTACATTTGCACAGCAAACATTAGAACAGCCTGTGAAAGGTCTATAACTACAAACTACTGGATTAGTTTTACTAGTTTTAGCTAACAATTCTAAAAGAAGACAATAATTTTTATGTTTCATTTAAATATTAAGAGGTGTTACTACACTTAGTCAATGCACACACTAAATTTAAATATTTCTACAGATGGGGGTGCCTGGGTGGCTCAGTTGGTTGAGCATCAGACTTCAGCTCAGGTCATGATCACACAGTTTGTGGCTTTGAGCCCCTCATCGCTTTGAGCCCTTCATCAGGCTCTGTGCTGACAGTTCAGAGCCTGGAGATTGCTTCGGATTCTGTGTCTCCCTCTGTCTCTGCCCCTCCTCCCTCTCGCACTCTGTCTCCCATCCCTCTAAAATAAACATTAAAAAAAGTATAAATATTTCTACAGATTTTTTTGACCCACTGAGTCTATTTCATAATCATCTTGTGTTCCTTACAGTACACACTGGGCAAATACATAATAAATTTCATACATTAATAAGAACTATTCAAAATCATACAGTGGAGACAAGGAGAGCGTTAATTTTACACCTAAGTTTCAGACATCTCTGATTTTATTTTATTTTTTAAAATTTTTAATGTTTTATTCATTCCTGAGAAAGAGAGACAGTGTGAGCAGGGGAGGATCAGAGAGAGAGGGAGACACAGAATCTGAAGCAGGCTCCAGGCTCTGAGCTGTCAGCACAGAGCCCCACGCAGGGCTCGAACCCACGAACTGTGAGATCATGGCCTGAGCTGAAGTCGGATGCTTAACCAACTGAGCCACCTAGGCGCCCCCAGACATCTCTGATTTTAAACAATTACCTAAACAAAGAAGGCAGGAAGCAAACCACTGCCCAAAGTGAACTACAGTTAAGTTATTCATTCAGTCAAATATAAATGTAACAAAGTCCAAAGTGCAAAGTCTGCGACTGTTTTCTTCCTGCACCAAGGTGCAGATTCCAAACCGCAACACTAACAGAGCATCACACATTTTAAAGTTTAAATATTTAGTACATCATTCCCCAACCTATCCAATTGTTTTTTTCACAGGTTTTATTTTACAGCTGGTCTCTACTATTAAGTTGCCTCCAGAAGCTTCCTATGGAAAGAGAAAGAATTTATGATATTAATTTCTGTATTAAAAATTTAATGAAAAGTAAGATCTGCGAAGAGAAGTACAATAGTCCTTCTGGTCAGGGTAAGAGGGCAAGGGGGCAAGAAGTCTTTCTTTACCAATCATGACCCTGTATACCAAGGTGAAGACCACCAAAATAAAAGGGTAGTGAATTATTTGTTTGTCACAGCATCCTAGAACTCCTCAGTGGTCTCAGATTTGAATTAGAGCATACGTACTGAAATTAATGTCACCTGAAGTTTTTGATTAAAAGTAAAACAAAACAAAACAAAAAAAACCATGAATGGAGGCAGCTCAGAGAGATTCAATTTTATGAGCAATTACAGATACAGTTCTGACACTAATGGACCATTTTGTGGGTTCAGAGAGTAAAAATACCTTCTCCACTTTTTATTCTTTTGTACCCTTAATTATGTAGATATTGATGAACTATCTTTGCTGTGTACTTACTCACGAAGAATGGAAGTAACATACCTTGGCTTGCCTAAAAAGCCTTTGTTCCCAGACAGCAAATAAAATTTAGCAATAAATGGCTATTCTGTATGCATCACAAACAGATCACAAGTTAGTCTCTGAGTATTAAAATTATCACTGCTCAGTAAAAATATTACCTTTATGTTCCACATAAGGCTCCATATCCAAAATTTCTGAGAAACCAATGTAGGTATTCAGCTTTTTCTTATGTCCAGTTTGCCTAACCAAGAGGAAAGCTAATTATATTTATATTTAAAACAATCATAAAACAATATACAAGCTTTATCAGCTATTTTAATTAAAAAAAAAAAAAACTCATTGGTAGCTAGCTGGGTAGGTTTCATTCAGCAATCTTGCTCAAAAACCTGTATGATTAGAAGTCAACATAATGCTGTCTTATAATAAGTGAAAAATAAAAGGTTAAAATTATGAACGTAAAGTAGTGACTGTAAACTTATTTCCAAAAGTTTTAATTTAATCACAGAGACACAGATGCTCCTGAGCAGAAGTAATGTGCATACGTACACACTGCCTTTATTTTAATGATAAAATCAAAGATACATTTCCATGGGGAGTTGGAGCATTATATTAACGACTAAAAATTTACTCTGGTTCTTAGAAATACAGAAACATCACGATAATTCACTTCTTACCTAAATGTTTGTTTTCCTGTTTTTAATAATCAATAATGGAATAACAAATAAGGACTCCCTACTTTTCTGGCTCTCACTCATCTATGTCTGGCTTACCTAAGAATTTTGTGATCAAACCAAGAATTACTTACAAGTGAAAAGGACAGGCCCCACCTACAACTTTCACCCCCAAATCTAGAGTTTGAAATTATAAGCATCTTATTACCTTCTCTGTCTACGGTAAAATCTGTCCACATCAGTCCACAATGAGCAACCAACACTGCTACGCTGCACCTGCTTACCTGTCAAAGACAAAGCGCATCAGCTGTAAGTTCAGGGTGCAGGGAAGGCTGAGGAGTCTGATCTTCCTTGTTGCATTCTGTTTACTTTGACAGTTTTCACAAAAGTATCGATTGTCTCCTTCTAATTTTTCTTCCTGCTCAGAAATAAGACATATTGGTTTAAAAAAAAAAAAAAAAGTAGAGGGTAGAAAGATTTTTTTAAGTGATCAAATCTCTTACGGAAAGCATAATATCATTTTCATTAACAGCCCCCTTAAAGCTGTTGAAGGTCGATCTACTACAAGTAATGAATAAAGGATACCTACAATAAAAGGCACTACTTGGCAGTGATATTCCTTGCAAACAATTTAAAATTGATGTGCCTCTTTCCAAAATGTATGATTTTTTAAAATATTTTTAATATTTATTTTTGAGAGACAGAAGGAGAGAGAGGGAGGGAGGGGCAGAGGGAGACACGGAATCTGAGGCAGACTCCAGGCACAGAGCTTGATGCAGGACTCGAACCCAAAAACTACAAGATTGTGACCCAAACTGAACCTGGATGCCTAACCCACTATGCCACCCAGGTGCCCCTAAGGAAGTAGGTTCTAAAACTTAAAAAATCATGTATACTCTGATGCAACAAAATTAATTTAAAAAGAGTGGAAATTCCATATGGGTACCAGAATACAAATACACACACACACACAGTGAAAATTACTGAACCACACTGATGAGATAAGGCTAAAAGAACAATGCAGGAAATTCAGTGTGACAGCTCATGCTGGTTTCTTTTAAAATTGTTCCTGCGTGTCCTCTTCACTCACTGTCCAGTCCCCTCCCCAGCATCCTTGGCCAGCTGCACCTACCTCCCTGATCCCCTACGTCTGAATGTCCTCATCTCTCTCAGTCCCTTGGTGACTTTACTCAGCCCCAAATGCCCTCCCCTGAACACTCCCCAAAGCAAACCCCCAATCCCTCTCCCCGGCCCACTCCTCCCCCGGCCCGTCTCACAGTGGTCTGGCAACTCCATGCTTCCTGGCGCTCAGACCAAACAAAACCTTAGTAATCTTTGCCTCCTTACTTCTCTGTATCCAGTCTGCAACTGTATCAGCTCTACTTTGAAAACACACTGAAAATCCAAACACTACTTCTCACCTCTTCAGCTAACCCCTGGTCAAAGCCACCACGGACTCTTGTCCGCCCTGGCCCCACTTTCAGCCAGTTCTCAGGACGGCACCCAGAGGTACCTGTTCAAACAGACTGGCACTCTCCTTTGACTAGCACCCCCTGGCGGCACCTCACCGCATTCACAGTAAAAGTCTAAGCCTCTGGCAAAGGCCCATCCTAGAGGACCCTTAGTTATTTATATCTATCTCTACTTTATCTTTCTCCCCTGGCTCATCCACCTCAGGCACATGGACCTGCTGTTCCTCAAACCGCCAGGCAAGTGCTGCACTTCCGTTTCCTACATGGCTCACTCCTTCACGCTCCATCATTTTATTTCTAACTGCAACCAAACCTACCCTCATTCCTACCACATTCTCCATCTCCCTTCCCTGATTTAGTCTTCACCACAGTACATATCATAGTTGACACACTACATATTATACTTATCCTTATTGACTGTCCTTCCCTGTTTCCCAAACCACGACATATATAAGGCAAAAATCTGTTGTCTGTTTTGCTGACTATGGTTAGCCCCAACCGCTGAGAACAGTATGTGAAGCAGTAAGCACTCGATCAATATTTAGCTGAATGAATTCAGTAATTGAGTATTTGAAGCAGGCTAATGGGTGTGCTAAAAAAGGAGGAAAGGCACAAAAATATTTTAAGATATGAAGCTACAAGATTAGCCCATCTACTATGTTAAGAGCTTATTCCCACTTGGTAACAAAGGTTTCCTCTAAACAGCTTTTTCAACTCCAAACAAAAGGGAACCACTTCCATTTTCCCACATATATCTAAACATACAGAAAGGAGAAATATGGAGTGGAGGGATTTAAGACTGACCACAGTGACTTCAAAAAGAAAACTGTATTCCACACACTGTTGTTCTCATTAAATTAAATTAACCAGGTAGTAACAGAGCTTAGACTTCCTTACAACACTCTACCACTCTGAAACATGCAAGTTTTTACATGTAACTTTATATGTAAAATAACCTAAAAATAGCCAAAAATTATTTTAATACACAGCCTGCTTTGACACTTTAGAATTTAAGAAGTTTCCGGGCAACTGAGTGGCTCAGTTGGTTAAGCATCTGACTTCCGCTCAGGCTGTGATCTCGCGGTTTGTGGGTTCAAGCCCTGCATCATGCTCCATGCTGTCCAAAGCCTGCTTGCAATTCTCTTTCTATCCCTTCTGCTTCCCTGCCCGCTCATGCCCTCATCTCTCTCTCAGGATAAATCAACTTAAAACAGTTTTAAATAGAAATTCAGTTTCTTATAAATTATGATATAAACAGATACTTCATATGTGGAAAGTCTGAAGTAACTTAGCCATTAAAGTTTTAAAAATTCAGAATCGTATTTAAATGTTAGTGAGCAGAAACTACTATATACCTTTAAAAATTCCGAGATACAGTCTGTTAACTGTTTATGGCCTTGGATATTTAACTCCAGTTCATAAAACTTTGATAAAAGCTTAGACTCTCTGCCACACTGGTTGCAACTATAATAAAACAAGAGTGAAAGTTAAGATCAGTTAAGATCAGAGGTAAAACAACAAAGTTCCATTATATTACATTCTAGAACCATGGAAAGCAGCATTTACTACTTTATTACCTTGGTTCTCTTTCACAGAAATTATTTACACTGTATGTTAAAAATAAAAACAAAGTGATTGCTGAGGCATGTATTTCATGATTAGGAAAACATTTCAGAGGCATTTGACATTTGCTCTTAAGTGTTCTTCTAGCTGGCTCCAGTCTTACTCTTTCAGCTCACGTCACAGCCACAAAGTCCGTGGCAAGATCTCAACCACACATAGCTCTCAACATCTGAATGGCTCCAACTGCATTTACCAAGTCAGTTATTTTCATGTTCCCCCTGGAAATGTAATACTAGAAACAATTTCAGGTCCCGTGATAACACACGAAGGCTGTAAGTTCAAACTGAACTGAAAATCAGATCGTGTATAAGCAAATGGCTTAGAATAAAATATGCCCTGGGAAAGATGAAACACACTTACACAGTTACATAAGCATATTCTCCACAGAACTGCTGTTGGACAATGTTCCGCACATCTGGATTCTTTTGTTTAGACAAAGTATCTTCCAAAAGAGACATAAATAGCTTTGAAAATTCTTGGGCATCCTACAACACAAGTTTGAGTTAATTTAAAAAGAAGAAAACAAGAAAGAAAAGAGAAAATGAAACCAAAAGAAAAATCTTATCTTGATTTTCAATTTGATACAAATAGCAACAAGTGAACTGTTCTAGAAGCTATCTCTATTTTGAAGTTAGCATTTTCAAGTAAAGACTAGAGCTATGCTGAACTAATTTGTACCCATGATTTTCAGAAACAGGATGGAGGAAAATGTCTAATCTGCTGGACAACTAATAAATACTGTAATTCCATATAGAAAAAAAGTTTTAATTTTTAAAAAGGCTTTCACTTCACTTCCTCCTACAATCATTCTAATTAACACCTGGGTACCTATTTATATTAAAAAAAAAAATTTAAAGGTTCTCGGTTACTCCCTGGGAGTGGGACTGGGGAACCTCTTGGAGTCTTTTTCTTCTCACCTTCCATCTTACTCAATGGTTGAAAATTTTTGGATTAATGTATATTTATTGTAAAATAAAATTTATTTTTGCCATTCTTCTAAAAAAAAACCAACAAATATTAAGAGAAAAAAGATACCATATGGTTTCACTTAAAAAAAAACTTAAAGGATCTTACCTGCTGTTGTCCTGTGTCCAAGCCCAAGGCTTTAACAAATCCCGATGGATCAATGTATCGCCTATTACTGTTTTGCAACAAGGCAAACAAGTACTGGAGATGCTCACAAATTGTTTGAGGTTCATAATCTATTAAAAAACACACGTTTGTTTTTTAAAAACTGCTCCTTTCCTTTTTTAAAATATGTACCTCTTCACTTGAAAACATGATTAAACACCCCTGCATCTGAAGTATGTTTGTGTTTTATTTTTTATTTTAAAAAATTTTTAATGTTTTTTTTTTTTAATTTATTTCTGAGAGAGAGACAGAGAGAGAGAGAGACTGAGAGACAAGAGAGACAAAGTGAGCAGGGGAGGGTCAGAGAGAGAGGGAGACACAGAATCTGAGGCAGGCTCCAGGCTCTGAGCTGTCAGCACATAGTCCAATGAGGGGCTCGAACCCACGAACCGTTGAGATCATGACCTGAGCCGAAGTCAGACGCTTAACCGACTGAGCCACCCATGCACCCCTATTTGTGATTTATTATAGTTTTAGAGCTTTTAACAGAAAAATTGTTTTGGACGTAATGAGGCAGCCACAGCTATCCAAATACATCCCTAAAAGGCAAGGGTTATACATGCATTGTAACAACAGCATCCATGACTGTAGTTTTCTAGAGCTATCAAATCACGCTGAAACATTCCGTCCAGTAATAAAAACCATGGACCTATATTCACCATTCACATAAGATGGCCAAATACTGGGGCGCCTGGGTGGCTTAGTCGGTGAAGCATCCGACTTTCGCTTAGGTCATGATCTCGCGGTTCGTGGGTTCGAGCCCCGCGTCGGGCTCTGTGCTGACTGCCAGCTCAGAGCCTGGAGCCTTTTTCAGAGTCTGTGTCTCCCTCTCTCTCTGACCCTCCCCTGCTCAAGCTGTCTCTCTCTCTCTCCTAGAAATAAATAAAAAAATTTTAAAAAACTTAAAAAAAAAAAAAAAGATGGCCAAATACTTTAATACAACCTCATTACTGCCATAGGTGAAGCAAGTGGCAAGATTCAAACTTGAACAAATGACGCAGTATTTCAAAATCCTAGAATTTTAGAGTTGCTAGGTTTTTTCCTAAGATGTTTATTTTGTTAGGAAAGGTGGGGGGGGGGGTGGGAGGAAGGAGAGAGAAAGGGACACACGGAATCTGAAGTAGGTTCAGGCTCCAGGCTCTGAGCTATCAGTTCAGAGCCAAATGCGGGGCTCAAACCCATGGAACTGTGAGATCATGACCTGTTGGGAAGCCGGATGCTTAACTGAGCCACCCCGTCCCCTCTAGAGTTGCTAGTTTTCAGGAGTCTGGGGAAGGTATGTAAATAGGAAACAAGAGCCCCAAACGACTTAAGTATGATCTTCTGTGCCGCTCACCACCCTTCTTTGCCTGCTCTATGATAACCCAGAGGAGCCTGGCAAACAACTCTCCTTTACCAGCCTACACAAGTCTTGTCAGCAGAGGGCATTGGAGAGCTCAGGTGCCCCTGCCTCACCAGGCTCTGCACTCAAACAGCAATCAACAGCTTCCCCCAGCACCTCCCCTGGTGCACCAAAGAAGGCTGCCTCTAGTGAGGGACTTCCTTGTGAATGACCCCTTGGGCACCCTCTAAGGTGACTTAGAAGGGGGTTCTGAGGTCCAGGACCTCCCTGTAGTCAGTTTCACACAGGGGTCCCCACGGAGGCAGCAGCCCAGCACCTTCTCGGCCACCTGGTGAGCATGCGCAGGGAGCTGTCCAGAGGTCCAGATTTCGGGCCTGAGCAGTGGGGGTGAGAGCCCTCCCTGGGCGTTCGCTTTTGCCCTGGGGGTAGTGGCTGTTCTCTGTATCCGCTGTTATATTTTTTAAGTCCTCTTTAATTCTTACTAACATCCCCCCATTACTCTCATTTCCTGTTAATAATTCCCTATTCTTGGGGAACATTTCATGACATATAGAATTGTCAAATCACTGCTGTACACCTGAAACTAAGATGTCAACTATTAAAAAAACTCCTTCCAAAAAAACCATTCCAGTAAGATAGGTTTTGAAAATTAAAAAATAAAGTCTATTCTGTATAATAATAATAATTTGGGGTGCCTGGCTGGCTCAGTCAGTAGACTGCAATTCTTGATCTTGAGGTTCAAGTCCCATGTTGGGTGCAGAGATTACATAAAAATAAAAATCATAAAAATTATATAACAGTCCTTATTTTTTCTTCAAATTATTGTGTACTTTCGTTTATTTTGGACTCTGAATAATTTATCTCTTTACTACCAATTGTGACTCTCAGGAAGTCAATATTTCATTTGTAAAATAAAGATAAAAATCTCACTTCCTGGGGTGCAATGGCTGTTAAAAGCGATTCAAGTGTGTGTTTACTCCAACTCCATTTTGCAGGTTAAATCCTCCATCTTTGGAACTCCATAAATAACTCATACCCTGCTGGCTTTCTTATCTGTAAAATGAGGGAATGGTTGTGCTGGGAGCAGAACCCAGAGCCCAGATCCCATCATTTCCGAAGTAAAGCCTTTGCACTCCATTGCATTGCATGGGCTAAGATAGCACCACAAATGCACTCTCTTATCAGAGAACAAGGTCAGGGATGACTTTGGTGAAATATAAAAATTCCTAGGCTTAGAAATTAAAAAAAGAAAGAAAAACATTTTTTTGAAGATACACATTAAATCCACATTAAAGGACATGACGCATCATTTTATAAAACAGAAATTTAGTTTTCATTTGTTATTTATCTGACTTCTCACTGGTAAATTTATTATTTCAGCAAAACAATGCCATCAAAAAGGATCCATTTGGCATTACTCATCCTTTACGTATATTACTACTTTTTTAAGTTTATTTATTCATTTAGAGAGAGAAGAAAGAGCGTCTGCACATATACACAACACAGGAGGACAGAAAAAGAGGGAGAGAGAGAATCCTAAGCAGGATCTGTGTGTTGTCAGAGCAGAGCCGGGGCTCCATCTAATGACCATGAGATCATGACCTGAGCAAAAAACAAGAGTCGGGCACTTACCTGACTAAGCTACCCAGATGTCCGCATACATTATTAAACACTCAGTACAGGGGCGCCTGGGTGGCTCAGTCAGTTGATCATCCGACTTCTCAGGTCATGATCTCACTGTTGTGGGTTTGAGCCCGGTGTTGGGCTCTGTGCTGACAGCTCGGAGCCTGGAGCCTGCTTCGGATTCTGTGTTTCCCTCTCTCTCTGCCCCTTCCCTGCTTAGCTCTGTCTCTCTCAAAAAATGTTTAAAAACAAAAAAAAACAAAAAAAACCCCAAAACACTCAATACATTGGAGCACCTGGTGGCTCAGTTGGTTAAGCGTGTGACTCCAGCTCAAGTCATGATCTCACAGTTTGTGGGTTCAAGCCCCATGTTGGGCTCTGTGCTGACAGCTTGGAGCCTGGAACCTGCTTCAGATTCTGTGTCTCCCCCTTTCTTTCTGACCCTCCCCCAACTCACGATCTGTCTCCTCTTTCTCTCAAAAATAAATAAACTTAAAAATAAAGTAAAATAAAATTTACAAAACATTCAATATACTACTGGTCTAGATTTAAATATTCAGAACTATAAAAATAAAGCTTTGGGAAAATAATCTTAAGAATTTTAAGCACTGTGTTTTGGGACAGGGAGTTGTTTTAAGTAGGTTCCATGCCTAATGTGGGGGCTGAACTCACAACCCCAAGATCAAGAGTCTCGTTGTCTGTGGACTAAGCCAGCCACGCACCCCTCAAGCACTGTGCTTTGAAGCACAGACTACCATTAATAAGGACCAAGACTCTAAAGCACTACTATGATCTACGGGGCTGTCAGAAGATGTGGAGCTTATGAATCCTATTTTTTCTCTCTCAGAGCCAAAGACATGAGCCATGTGCCCAAACGAGATCATCTAAAACACAGTACAGGTTTTATAGCTCCCTGACATATGTAATCTCCTTCCATCCCCCAACTCTGAAAAAGAGAAAAATCTGGTTTGTTCCATGGAAAGTTCCATCTCAAAGAGAATAATCTCTAATAGAAAGTCATATCAATCAGGAATAATAATCTACATCCTATGCATGAAATAAACTAATTCCAATAGAAACAGTTTGAAACTGATCCTGTGTAAAAACAAACAAAATTGATTCTAAATTTACAATGTGAGTAGTTGCTAATGGTAACCAATTTTGCCAAGGTTAGTGAATTTAACCTTAATCTTAAAGGCATCATCTAAGTTAACCTATTTGGGAATCAGGACAAAAGACTGAGGTCACAATGAAGTATTAAATCTCTCAAAGTAGAGAAGAGAGTAATCTTGTCTGCTTTAGTGACTGATTTCCATCAATCACTAGAAAAAAAAATTTTTTTTAATCTTTGTTTATTTTTGAGAGAGAGAGAGAGACAGAGCGTGAGTGGGGGAGGAGCAGAGAGAGACGGAGGGAGATACAGAATCTGAAGCAAGGTCCAGGCTCTGGGGCTGTCAGCACAGAGCCCACGCAGGGCTCGAACTCATGGACCGTAAGATCATGACCTGAGCCAAAATCAGCACTTAACCAACTGAGCCACCCTGGCGCCCCATCAATCACTAGAAATTAAGGAACTATAATCACAGCGTATTACCTAGAGTAATTATAGATGTAAGCTATATAATATCAAATGTATTTCCTTCACTTGAATATGAACAATTTCGGTGCATAATTCACAAATTTACAGAAGTGAAAGCTGTTTTGAATCCTGACCATGTTTATGGACCTTACCACCATGCCCGGCACATACTGAGTGCTCAGAAGTCAATTCCCTGCATTTGAAAGGTTTTCTGGCTGGCAATATGCTGCAAAGCGAGCCCTCCCCACAGGCGCCCCACTAACCTTTCTCCTCTTGGATCCTATCTCCCATCACATAATCGTTACAGGTGCTTGGACATAAGTATAGGGCCTGCCGAAGCTCCAAGTTGAGAAACCACACTTGAAGAAACGTGTTGACGTAACAAGTCGCTCCAAGGTTAGTGAGGCCCACAAATGAGTTCTACAAAAATGCAAAATTTACAATCGTAGAGTCAAATTTCCCTTTACACACCAAAAATTATTTAAAAAGTAATTTTTTTAATGTTTTATTTCTGAGAGAGAGAGAGAGAGACAGCGTGAGCAGGGGAGGGTCAGAAAGCGAGGAAGACACAGAATCCGATGCAGGCTCCAGGCTCTGAGCTAACTATCAGCACAGAGCCCAACGTGGGGCTCAAACCCATAAACCATTGAGATCATGACCTGAGCTAAAGTCAGACACTTAACCGACTCAGCCACCTAGGCGCCCCCACACCAAAAATTATTAAGACCAACTATTTTTTTTTAAATTTCAGATTAAAAATTTGCTAAAACCACCCCAGTCAACATGGTATAACCACCATAAGGCTCTCTTGGCCAGGGTGAGGGCATAATTTCATGAAAGCCACGTCTGGGTTGGCTACAGGAGTGGAAAAGACTTAAGACAGCTCACCTCCAGTCTTTTGGTCTCCTCTGGCCACTTAATTCTAAAATTAAATGGTGGACTCAAGGACTGGTCCGTTCTGAACATGTGTACATAGGCTTTTCATTCGTTATATTCCTAAACTGTCAACATTTAGGGGTAAAACATCTAGGAAGTTAAACTTCCAGAAATCCTATAGATCTAGGAGGAGTGGAACAGGGGGAGTTGGTTACAATTTCTCCTAAGATTGAGAATATCTGAACTTACAAAGAATCAATCTTAACAAAGTTATCTACAGCTGACTACTTTGTGAACGCTGGGATTTATGGTTTAGAAAACATAAATATGTATTTAAAAAAAGTAAAATTATCTGTCATATGTGTAATCTCTACCACAACAAGCCCAAGAAAAACGAGGTAAAGTTAGGCAAGATTGTTCCCTTGATTTACCACTTCCATTAAAGAGACTTAAATATGAGTTTGAAATAAAATATGCAGCATTAAAGCAAACAGAATCAGCATTTAAACTAAAACCATCATTTAAAGACTCGCTGGATTACATGGCCACCTGTTTTAAAGTCTTACCAGTAAGAACTGTTGCAATTCAAGCAGTATGGGGTTTTAAGTTCTGTTAGGTATCTTAAAGCTGTATAGGCTCTGACAAAGTCCATAATAGTTTCCAATCATAGATGCAAAACATAACAAAAACCCAGAGGAATACCACATAGCAATCACTTAAAAAAGGCTTACCTTTTTTCTCCTCTCACAGTTGGGATCATCAATGTTATGGAAACTATTTTCATCTATTTCTCCTAACCAAATATGTTCACCAATCCCAACCAAGCAATTTGGATTTCCTTTGCAGTTTCGTCTTAAAAAAAAAAAAAAAAAAAAAAAAATTAACTAAAAAATATCACAGCTCCATATTAAATATGCAGATTAAAACTATAATGATATACAGTATTTCATCCATCTCTCATCTATAAAAATTAGGAAAAACTGAGAAGGTATAACCCCACACTCAATTTGTAAGGCTATGGGGAAACAGAACTCCTTTACTGCTGAGAATACAAGCTGGTAGTAGGACCCTGAGGGAGAGGAATTTTGCAATCTCTGACAAAACTACACAGACAGTTACCTTTTGAAGCTATTTTTTTTTTTTTTTAGCTATTTTGTAGTAATTCATTTCTAAGAATTCACATTGCAGATACAGCTCCAAAGTGCAAAAACAAAACAACAAAAACCAGCACAAACACCACCTCGGTGTTCATTATAGCACTGTGTAACTGTGAAATACTGGAAACCCAAATGGTCAAACACAGGGGATATGGTACATCTGCACAATGGAGTGCTGTTCAACTATGAAATGAAAAATGCATGACAAACCTCTGTGAACGGATGTGGAGTAATTTCCAGGATGTATCAGTTAAGTAAAGAAAGCAATGTGCCAAACAGTACCTATAATACACAATTTCTTGCATAAGAAAGATGGGGAAATAAGGAAATATATGTGTATGTATTTGAATAAAAATAAATACAAAAAAGATAAATCAGACACTAATAAAAGTGGATGCCTACTGAACATGAGTGGGTTTAGGGTAAAAAAATGGAGGGGTATGTGACACTCCTGAACATACCGTTCTATAATACACTACTGAATTGAGGGGCTGTGTGTGGGTTATACACACAAATCAGTAAGGATGGGGGAAACCCTAAATCCAACACAAACACATTCCAAATAAATAACATACCCACAATGAAGGGAAGGGTGAACTATCCCAAGTAACCTGAACAAGGTCATTAGCAAGCTCATTTAGTACTGTCTTCAGACTAAAGATAAAAGGAACAAATACCAAATCCTGAAGACTTCCTTTTCACAGAGGTGTTAACAATTCTAAAACTACTTTCCATATATTCTCTATTTGAATAAATAAGTAAATACACTAGGGATAAAAGAAATCAAGTTTTGGGAAGTTACAAATAAGAAAAGGGAGGAAGAATAAAATGAACCCTGCAGTACTGGATCAGGAGTAAGCGACCTAAGTCTAAACCTAAAGGAAGATAAGGGTTGCCAGATAAGCCACAGAACAGTAGTTATCTGAATTTCAGATAAATGACATGTTTAAATTAAAAAAAAATATCTGTTGTCCATCTGAAATGTAATTGGACAGGCAACTACATGGCCTTTAGTCAGCTAAGCTAGGTCCTGATTTCTAAGTATTCCCCACTAAGTATTCTCCAGGGCTCCTTGGAGAAATGGCTGATTCCATGTCTGGACAGAGCACAAGAAGAACACGGAACATCTTGCTGTGACCAAGAAGTAGGGATGTATTCCAAGAATGATGGAGGAAAGTGATTCATAAGACTGAGCCCCACATCCGGCATCCGTATTGGCAGCACAGAGCCTACATGGGATTCTCTCTCTGCCCCTCTCCCCATGTGTGTGCATGCACTCTCTCTCAAAATAAACAAACTTAAAAAAAAAAAAAAGTATAGGGGCGCCCGGGTGGCTTAGTCGGTTAAGCGTCCAACTTTCATTCAGGTCATGATCTCGTGGCTCGTGGGTTTGAGCCTCGCGTCGGGCTCTGTGCTGACTGCCAGCTCAGAGCCTGGAGCCTGTTTCAGTCTGTGAGTCCCTCTCTCTCTGACCCTCCCCTGCTCACACTGTCTCTCCCTCTCTCTCCTAGAAATAAATAAAACATTAAAAAAAAAAAAGTATAGTCTCTCCTTATCCCCCCAGATCTCCCCTTCACCGCATCTTATGCTCTCAACCTGGTCCACAGGTCTGGCTGCAGCCCAAAAATGACATAAAATAAGGTTTAACTTTGAAAAGACTTCCAAAACAGATGTGAGAAGTTGAAAGCAACTTGCATTATTTGGCCCTAGAGTGTTGGTATTGTTTTTTCTTTTGTATACATCTTCTTAAATTAATTGCTGTCTAAGTATTACTAAGTGTTCCATTGGCTAGAACACCATCAGTGTAGAGGAGATGAAGCAGTGAGGAGGCACCAGTCCCAGGCAGAACCCATGGCTTATGGGCCCCCTAGGGCCACACCTGCAGGTAAGAACTCAAAACACCAATGGCAGCTCTGCAGTACTAAAAGCAGTTAAGCTAACAGATTACAGCTTTCCCAAGAGGAGCTAAGCATTTCTCCACAAACCCAGTCTTGTGGGGGCTTTTCTGGGTTTGTGTGTGGTCTTGTTTGGAGAAGTGGAAAATCTACTTAAAAAGCATTATAAATAGTAAAAACATTTCTAATTACAAGCTCTTACTCCCAAGCCACGCTAAGCAGCAGAATGGAATACCAAAATCAGAGGCTAGAATCCCTACAGATGAACTCCTCCTCAATCTCCAATGCCCTGGAACTTCATTTTATCCATGGAGGAGGCCACAGGTGTCAAGTAGCATTAATCATCACGTGTGTACCAATTTTCTTATAGCAGAAAAATATTTCTACATACCTGTTTCTATCAAAGAAAAAGAGATCAAGAAAGCAGAGTATTTCGAGATACGAGACAGGCACACATGTTTACATGGAAAGACTTGTTTTACTACTGTGTAAATACCCTAGCCAGTTTGACCCATTTATACTCACTTGGCCCTAGAAAGCAGGACTTGCTAAAGCTGGCTTAGAAATCAAATAACTTTTTCAAGGTCACAAGTAGCCCTGATTTAATCTAAGGTGATGCCACTCATCTTCTCCGAAATATAAACTTCTACAAACCTTATAGCTAACTTTATCCTCTACCCACTCTTGGACAGATCTTCACAGAAATCCCTCCTTCTGCCTCCAGGGGGATCAGAAAACCAAATCACAAAAAGCCAACCTGAGAAACGGTCAACCTGGTTCTTCCCCTGGCTCTTCCCTAGTCTCCAATCTCCTTTACTTCTACATCAGTTGGCTTAAGAGTAGGTTTGTGGGGTACCTGGCTGGCTCAGTCGGTAGAGAATGAGATTCCTGATCTCAGGGTCATGAGTTCGGGCCCCAGGTTGGGTCTAAAGATTACTTAAAAAAAAAACAAAAAAAACACGGCATTTGTTTTGTGTGACTGATACCTATTACTGTATGTGCCATGTTTCTTCCTCTACCCCTGCCCTAGAAGGCCTTTTTTTTTGAGAACAAACTGTTCCTTGGGTCCTGTGTTTCTAGGGAAAGGACCTCAATGATCACCATTTTGATCTTGAACTTTCTAATTGATTCTAAAATTTTTCTTTCCAGCTTATCTCTGAACACAGACAAAAGGTCCCCTGATTCATGCCATCCTCCCCACCCCAACCAGTAAGAACTGCCCAGAGCCAGCGAGACCCCACCCATGAATGACAATGACCTTCACTATTTCACTGCATGTACCCACCAGTCTTTGCCTCACATTTTCCTTATATAAACCTGAAGTATTTTTGGCACTTGGGAGGCAGTCTTGGAGACGCCAGTCCAGGGTCTCAACAGAAATAAATTCCTTTCTTGTTTTACCAGCACTCGCGTCTCTGCCTTTGGAGTTTGTCAGCAGCAAGCAGGCAAATGTGGTCTGTGTGGGACCCCAGGGGGCCAGAGGCTCGGGCACCCTGGCTACACTAGTAAAGAGCTGGTGAGATGCAACTCCAATCCATCACTGAAACACAAAAATCTCACAAGAGATTTAAATGGGAAGTGAGGAACGGGGGTGGGGGGCGGGGAGAGCATTAGTCCCTCTGAGGTGGCAAAAGACACTTCTGGGTGGCATGGAACCTGGACATGCCACCAGCTTGGCTGTCTAGGAAGGAACCAACATGCGTTATCTGCCTGAGAAGCAAAAACAGGTGGTTCATAAAAAGGCTCCTTGGCCCAACTATATCCCTCTCTGCCTTATCTGTGATTTGTCCAAATTTCCCCAAATTAATAAAAAGAAACCCCCCCCAAGTTTCCGTCACCTGTGTCTAGGCGTGCTAACAAATATGAACTAAATAAATAAAGCTTTTCCTGTAATGACCAATCCAAAGGCCCCTTCAGTCTCTGACAGACCTAATTCCTAAACACGGTTTTGCCTCTCTTCCTCTAAACTTTCTTACAAGGCTAGTTAACAAACACAGGGGAAAATACTCAAATCCAGAGAAATGCAAACTTAAAACAGCCTTGAAAGATGTTTTCTCTTATCCAATTAGCAAAAACTTCCCAGTGGTGAACCAGTGTCAAGTGCAACGGGAGCTCAAACACAAACCTTTTGGGAAAACAACACCAACATTTTGTTTCAAGAATTTTACTGTTGTGCATAGGTCCACAGAATATGCAACAGCACTGTGGCAAGGAACCATAATGATGAATCCCAATAGGTACTTTCTCCAGAACTGCGTGATAGAAGGACACCAAGTGGCTGAAGTGGTAGACAGGGGACAGGTTCCAAAATGTTTGGTCTGACACGCTAAGCAGCTGTGACAGGACTTGCTGTGATTTTAAGCCAGGAGAACACCTTGGCAGCAGTCCTAAACCAGTTTAGTGGCAACAGGAAAGAAGGAAAGCTGGCTTCAAGTTTATCAATGCAAGGGAATCAACAGGACTCGGTAGGCCACGTAGACGGTGGGGGTAAGAAGGGAACGGAGATGTCTGCAAATCTGTCAAGAAAGGAAAACAATTTTCCACAAATCAAAACCTGTTTGGCTGCGGAGTGGAAAAACAACAGACTACATATGACTTAAGTTCCTTCCATACTGGCCACAGGGAAGAGATGACGTTTTAGCTGTTCCAACAGATCTCCAAGGATCTGCCATTTAAGAGTATCTTCCAACACAATGAGCAAAAATTCAAAGCCAATGATTTCATAGTTGCTATACACTTGGAAGAAAATTAATTACGTGAGTGGGAAAGGGGGTGGAGCTCTCACTCCCTCTGAATGGTC